CGGAAACTACGTTTTCTGTAGTGGTCAGATGGAAGTTCTGATTCATTAAGTTCATCTATTTCTAGCAGTACTGTCTCCGTACCATCATCGTTTCTTAAGATCTGAACGTTGTCCACCTTTCCGACATCTGAAACGCCATTCTTCAGTACGGAATGGAATTTTTTTCCTTTAAAGTTCAGTATGCTTTTTTTTTTTTTTTTTTTCAGTATGCTAGTATGCTCTAGCAAAATCATAGCTAAAGTGGACAAAATTTACCACAAATGTAAGAAAAATTTGAATACCGCACCAACATCAGGTCCATTTAAATTCAGTATTAGATAGTATTCATGGTCATCGCCAACAATCACTTGCCCAACCGTGCTTTCTTCAACTAATTCCGTTTCCTCAACCTCAAAAAGTCTTGAATAAGTGATCCTACCTCTTGTTACTAGAACTTACGGCAGGAATCATTTGTGAATTAAGTAATAACTGCATCACTAAGCAAATGACATAAACTAAATACAAAATGCAAATAACGCATGCTACACAAACTCTTCCACTAATTTATTCTGATAACTAGAAAATTATTCTGTAAGTTACAAATACACAATCTATTCTATTCTCTTCAGTTGATATTGGAACCAAATGATATAAATTAGGAAGTGCAGTAATTCAACATCCCGAAAAAGTAAAAAGTTCTAAACTATCTGAAAATAGCGTCACCTCGACACTTTCTTGTCGGTCATAAATGTCTGTATGGACAGTTTTCGTGATACCATTTGTTTTCTGCGTGTTCTGCATTTCATCCGATGAATGACCAGCATCATCCTTACCAGATGCTTCCTCTATAAATATATACGCACCTTCATTGCATTATGAAGAAATTCAAGAACTAAATGATTATTCCAGCCTTTAACATCTCAGCGCCTTAAACACTGCTTCCATGTAGTAACGTAGAAAAATAATTTAATAAACCAACAAAAAAATGAATGGAATTAAACTTTTCCATGCGCAAATTCTGTAACTAACAAACAAACAAGCAAATTACAAGTAATAAAAGAATTACTTTTAAAATTTAAAACAAAAATCAAACTATAAGTTAAAAATGGCGGGTATAGCAAGAAAAAAAAAAATAGCTACAAAAATGCAAGCAATCTTGACGGGAACAAATTACCCATTGAGGCGCTGATCACTCGGTTAGCTTTCCTTCTGAATCAATACTCTCGACGATTTTTAAAGTATCAGTTCTGCCCAGTACATTTCCATGTAATTTCTACGTTTACTCCTGGAACTTCATAAAACCTATGAAACGCGGCCCCATCGTAGGGTATTTCTTACTTTAAGTTTGTTTCTTTCAACGAAAATACGATTAAACGCGTAATTTGTTGTAATATTTTAGTGATATATATATATGCATGCATGTGCAAGCTTTCTGAAGACGACAATTCTTTACTTCTGCAACACTCACGTACGTGTCCGCTCCAATTCAACTTATTAATGGCCTTAAGGCCAACAAGTAATGCAACAGCTGTTAAACTCTTGGCCCTTAAATTTGTGAAATATTATATCCTGCTAAGATAATTCGATGATAATTAGTTGTATTAATAAGTTTGATTAATCAATTTAAAATTTAAGTATTAATTTAATTGAAATAAGCAGAAGTGAAAGACACCGTGAAAATCATTAATAGCAATAATTAGCATTAGCAGAGATTTTAGTTAATCAGAAATTTGCAATGAGATTGATTAGAGAAACTAAAAAAAAATTTAATATTTTCTATAGTTGGAGAAACTAAAAAGAAATACAGAGAGAAATGAAAGAAATAATGGCAAAGAATCTAGGATAGAAATTCGAAAAAGAAAAATTTCAATAATATCAGACTTTTTTTTCAAAAGCTAGAAATCAATTGTTAAAAATCAAGAATGAGTATAGATCTTGCTCTATTACATGAAAATTTGAAATCAGTGATTTAAAATTAATGATAATTGAAATTAGCCATTGCTTAATTTGTTACAGTCAACGATTCAGTTTTATGTGAACAGATAATTTCTATCTAACTGTAATTACAAATTTCAATTCTGATTAGCGCTTAGTTATTATATTGAGTTAGTAGTAGTGAATTTGATCTCCTTAATACTTTTTCCAGTACTTTATGCTATGGTTTTTATTTTCTTTTTTTTAAAAAATTCTTTATGTGGAATTATAAAGTAATGTATGAAAAAAGAAAAAAGTTGAGAAAGTTTTGTCTTTGTCTCATTAAATTAATGTTTATTAACTAATGGCCTAATCAACACGAAAAAAATAGCTAATAGTGAGATCAAAAGAAATAATATTGAAATAGCTAGACAAGTTCTATCATCTTTTATATCAAATGTAAGCGCATGTCAAATCTTAATTGACATATAATTAGTTAAAATTATTTAATTAATTTTAATTGATTAAAATACCAGTCTTTTATAACTAATTAATAATGCTTTTTTTTTTTTCACATTAGTATCACATTGTACATTATCTATTCACTTCAAAATCGTTTGATTTTAAGCGTACTTTTTCAATGTTATGCACACCAGCTGCGGAACGTAACAAACAGCCAATATTGGATATTCTCAAACAATATATCGACAATCAATCGCGTACGGTATGTATTTATTTATAATTGCATCTATTTGATAAAATTTTTTTATTGATGAAATTAAATTGAACTATCTTAAGTGAAACTCGAAAAAAAAAACAAACTTCCAATAACTTTTTATTTTTCTTTGGTGATTTTTTAACACTGATGAAGATAGGATAAATTAAGTGAAAATTATAACATTTTTCTAGTTGTTGGAAATTGCATCTGGTAGTGGTCAACATGTTTGTTATTTTGCACCACATTTTCCAAATGTCCTATTTCAACCCTCCGATATGGATGATCGTTACGTGAAATCCATAAATCTATACATTGATCATTTCAAGGTTTTCTCAGTTTTACTTCTTTTTGAAAGCTGGAGTTTATTTTAAATTAATTTTTAATACAGTGTAGAATTTTTCAGTCTATTTTAGTTTCTTTACAATACATAAATGGTATGAATATGATGGATATGTGGTTGATGAAACCTTATCAGTGTTTATCAATTTCGTAATTGAAACTTTCCGTGTCTAGTGCATCATCTATTTGATGTTAGTGTTCAGTGAATTATGGATGAAATAAGTTTTTCTGTTGCTTTCAACTAGTGATTAAGTATGATAAGCAAATAATTCGATTTCTAGAAAATGCATACTCGGAAGCAGCTTATGTGTTTTGATTTCGATTTATTCGAGTTATTCGAAAATGCTTGTCCCATCATCGAGAAAAAAAATGCGATGATTTCATACATTTCAAAACATTTTTCTTTCCAGTTGTGCAATGTTAAGCAAGCTTTGAAAATTGACGTTCGAAATGATATTAGCAGCTGGAACTTGCCGATTGAATTCCAACCGGAACAAATCGATTATCTCTTATCGATAAATATGATACATATCAGTTCAAATGCTGCTGTCGATGCACTGTTTAAAGTGAATATAAATTTCTTGTTATTACTTGACTTGAATATCGTAATGAGAATGTATTTAACATTTTTCAAGGAAATAGTTTTATCATTTTAAAGTATTATTTTTAAGAATAGTAATTCTAGAGGGCTGGATCGTTACTTTCTAGTAAACATGGTTTGTTGATTACATATGGTCCGTATGCTACGAATGGTGAAATAACTCCGCAAAGCAATATTGACTTTCATCGATCACTTCTTTCCACTAATCCTGAATGGGGTTTACGTGATATAAATCTTTTGAATGAGGTATTCTTCAATTCATTTTAAAATTTGCTTTATATTGAGTGTACTATTCAGCTTAAGCTTTAAAATTGAAAATAATATTCAGTTCAGTGTCATTTTATTAAATTTAAAAAATAGTTACAAGAATCAACTGTGTTTTAAATATAACTACTTTGATGAAATCGTTCGTATTGGTCAATGAAAGAAATATTGGACTGAATTTTTTTTTCTTTTTTTGTAGAAAGCGGCTATTAGTGGATTATATGTGCAAAAAGTACATGATATGCCAGCCAACAACAAAATGATAATTTTTGGACGACAGCCTGTATCATGAAAGAAGCATCTTGAACCGAAGTTATCTGATGAAAAAAACATCTTGAAATGAAATTGTTCATTCTGAGAATCGACGGTGAAGAGAATTCAGGAACATGTTCAAAGAAAATTTCTTTATATTTATTTAACAACTGGAAATTAATCTTTGAATTGCCCAAATAAAATTTTTATTGTAATTTTTAGTCACAATAGTTCGAGAGTTTCCAAAAGTATAACTATGAATTTGAATAAAGATGCAAGAAAGAAATCGATGAATGAAACGATTAGAGGCAAACATTTTTTGACAAATAAACCTAAGTGATATTTTTTATCTAAGTTGGGAATTTAAGTCAACAATTCACACTAAGGTAAATTATTGTAAGGTTTCAGTCTGTTCTTGAGAGATTAATGATCGGTCACATACACAGCACAGGTGAAAAATGCAGAATATCTGATTGGGATCAAAGTTTTCAATCTGTTTCAGGTCAAAGGTTCAACTTATTGTTATGTGATTGGTTGTTGTGGTGTGAAAGGGGTGTGGTGGTTCGTTATCATTAAGTTTTTTAAATTTGATGAAAATGAAATTTTCTAAAAATAATCCGACTCATTTTTGGACTCTATGCTATGCTATTCATAGAACAGAAATTAGATAGAAAATCAAATTTCCAAAGAAAGTTGCAGAAACTGTTCTTGTTTTCATCATTTGTATGCAAAATTCATTCCTATGATCTATAAGATTCATGGGATGGAGCAAAATAGATGATATCTGTATAATGGATGCAAATAAAATTGAAGAAATAAAGTACATACGCCAGTTCAAATCAAATTGCTCATGCAGTGCTAGCACAAATTGAAATTACAGAACTAAAAAAGTTATTAAAATCAAGATGTCATTTTTTTTTTCTCCAGATTGTGATGGTAACATCAGAGGACAGTACTGAAATATCTGTTGGATTTAAGGTCATCAAAAATCAATTCAATAGACACTGGCGGAATGATGGTGATCCTTCCAGGAAGAACACGTGTACGTAATGATGTTATTTTAAATATTTGTAGACGTTTGTATCTATATATTTTTAATTAGAAGAAGTAATGGCTTTCATTATTTCTTCTAATTAAAAGATGTGTTAGATTGTTCAAGGACTTTTTAATGTGAAAATTCTCCCTGTTGACTTTATCTAATCACCTGAGAGACATCGTCATTTCAATTTGTTTAATGCATCGGAAATAGTTTTCACTCTTTATAAATAACTATTCAAGCATAAAGCAGCACAGTGGTATTTCTTTTACTTGATGTTTCCAATTTTTTAGTGTTAACGGAGCGAAGTGGAATGCGCATGGCATCTGATCGAAATTACGTCTATGTGATCGGTGGTTTCTCACCGTCGCGAGAATCTTTCCTTGCAGAGGTTTGTTGCGCATTAAACTATAAACTAAGGTGTCGTGAAACCTCAAACTTGGGTAATTAAACCTTTATTTAACATGAACCAAATAATAGCGCTTTATACATATTGTACGGATGCTAAACCGATTAACAAACGCGTAAACTATATGAAATGCAATAACATAAAATTATAAAGTATTAGACGCATCCCAATACCACCCAAAACATAAAGCAAATGATGGTTGTAGAAGGATTGGTTGGTTTATATGTAATACTGATTTAACGAATGGAAATTAGATGGAAGAATTTCTCATGGATGAAAAAACAAGATTGTTAACAAGATTAGTTTTAGTGTGTGAAAGGAGGAAATAGGTTAGTATGAGACATAGCTCAATTACAAATGTAAAAATATTCGGAAATTGAATCATCAAGTGTGAGAAGAATTTTATAAATGTAAATTAGATTTAGGAATTAGATAAGAGGAATTTGTTAGTTTTGGATATAATAATTTAAATATTTCGTCTTTCACGACATAAGAAATGAAAGAAATCCTTTTAATAATGAGTAAGCGAATTTTGAATGCATTATGTGGATATATTTATGTTAGTAACGTATAATTAGCAATTCGTATTTTTTGAAAAGAGTAATGACAAACTCAGCTAATTTCCAGAAAGACGTATTAATGACTATTCAAGGTGGGACTAAGATTGATCCGGATAGACGTCTGACATTGCTTTTAGTAATATTTGATTCATTTGCAATAACATTCTAAATTTTATATTGCTTCGGTTGCTGTTGATTATCCTAACGCATAAAGTGAGAAAGTGAGAGTATTTATAAATTATTATATTTCGCAGACCAGCAGAAAAGTAAATTGAAAGGAATGAATTAATACCAAAATATTTTAATCGAATTAATCCATCATCACATTTGTTATTTTGTTATACTTTGTATTTTTTTCTACATTTCCGTGAGTTTTCTGAAACACAGTTTAGGAAGTATGGCGTTTCAATGTTCTGACCGACACCTGGGAACTGATGTCCATCCCGGAAAAAGGTTTTCCTAAGGAATTGGCATCGTTTGCAAGTAATTTTACCATTCCTTTCATCATATTTAATTCATCAATTATTTCTTATTTTGTGTTCATTTTTATTTACAATTCCTTGAAGCGCACAGATCATGTAGTATTGGATTATTAGACTTTCTTTATTCATCACCATTTTCGGTATTTTTTAGGTTGCTTTTTCGGTGAACCAGTTTTATCTGAATTTTATATGTTCGGTGGAACTGGAGTTCCTTTCGGTACGAGAACTTCCAATTCAGTTAACTTACTCAAGCGCATAAGCGATGGAAATTTTGTTTGGAAACGGCTGACAACCACTGGCGATATTCCAGCCAAACAGTATGGTTCAGTAAGTATCAGTTGTCTTTGTGAAAGTTAACCAGTTTGGTCTTTAAAAGCGGAAAATGGTGATTCAAGAAGTGCGAAATAAAGAATTGGTAGTTATGAATCACTTATTACTTAGGTGAAAAACTCGAAATAATCCTGAGTTTATCAAAAACTTTTGAATTTTTAAAAATCTCATTAAAAAGCATGACTCTTCGTTGGAAATTCCATTTTTGAAATCTGATTTTTTGCTTTTTCCGGAGTCTTTCCAAAAATTTTTTTGTAAATGATTTTTTCAAGGATTTTCCTCCCTTTATTTTATTTCTAATAATAATTATTGAAAATTATCATCATTATTTCTGAAATCTTCATTTTTCAGTGTCTTGTACATAATAATGGCAAATTCTATGTGTTTGGTGGAACGACTGGTTGGGAATACAATTTGGAAGTTCGCAGTTTGGAACCTGAATTTAGTAGCAAAAAAGATGATGCAGAAAGATTAGAACCATTTCGCTGGAAATGGACACTTCTTCATGTAATTTATAAATTTATTGTTTTGTCTTTGGCATATATAAGTATTCTTTGCATATGTTTGGTTTGATTTTACAGAAGAAACAGAAAAATGCATATTACAGGATGGTTCAGGTGTCAATGGTAGATATAGACATGAAGCTGTAGTCGTTAACGATGAAATAATACTTATAGGTGGTGGTACACCTGAATGGACCTCACCGCTTATAGAAGTTCGTTTTTTATTACAGCATTACTGTTCAATTAGAAAAACATATCAAAAAATTTTTATTTTTGAATTTATACAACATTTAGATGTTTGATATCAATTTTTAAACATTTCAGTTATTATTTTAAACTTCCGAAAATAAATTAGCCGTAATTTTGAAGAAAAACATATAAGCAAGACATTAGCTGATACCTCTAAAAACTTGATTTAGCCATTTTTATGAATTTTATGACATCCTAGCATTGTATGTCTTATGTTTCATTTTTTTTAGTTATTGGTATTCAATACAACTGATTGCAAATTTCGCAACCAGCTAACTCTGCCTGACACCGACTATGGATATCCATTAGTATGTTTTAGCAGTTCATTTCATCTTTTATTTTATTACTCCATGCCATATATTAATATTCAAATATTAAAAAGAAATAAAATACAGCCTTAATGAACAAATATAAATTGTCACTTATTCATGATTGACATTAATTTTTTCATCCGTATTTTGATTGCTATTTTGCTGTTTAAGGGTCGATTATACTACGGTTGCGTAAAATTTGGTAATGATGTTTACATTCTTGGCGGTTGTACTGAAAGATCAGTGATACGTCACTTGGTTGATGAAATAGTTTTGGTATTTTTTACTACTCAAATAATCTATTTAATTTGCCTTTAATATGACATTTATTAATTGATATTTTAAGTAGTGCAGAATGCATTTTGATAGTTCTTTGCAGTATATCTTTATGGAATTTCAATGATCTTTGCAGAGAGGAGATGAAGGAGGGATTTGTTGATCACGGTTAAATTTAAAATAATTATTGTTGTTGCAGCGACCTAAATTACTTCAAGATTGCTGGAAACTTGATCTGAACGAATGGCGTTGGAAACTATTGCCTGGTGAATTAAATCAGCAGATATGTTTCCATGCAGCAACTATTACTCCAGTATGTGCAAAATTTTTTTTTTTTTTAATTTAGTGATTTTAGTAAGAAGAAAAACTGTATTATTTTTTAGTTCGTTTTCAGAATAATTTGGGAATTCAAAACATTGTCGATTATGTAGATTAATCATTTGAGGATAGGTATTGAGTGAGATTTATTTGATGCTATAGAGTTTGAAAGAAAAAGTTGATTCTATTATGGAAGCAATTCGTTCTTCTAAAAGGTATGAAATTTGTAGATGAAAAGATGATATCTCTAACATTATAAACGTTTTTCCTTTTTTTACACAAAACTAAACTTTTTTTTTTCTTTTTTACTTAATTAAAATAAAATAAATAATTACAGGAAGGCTGTATTTATGTTTTTGGTGGTACTATAGATGAAAAATTTGAAAGACGAACAGATGAGTTGCAAAGATGTTGGATCACACCACCAAGTTTATTCTATATTGCTGCACATACTGTTGTTAATACATATCCTGGTCTTTCTGAGCGTTTTCATGATTTAACATTAACAAATATTTTTGATTGTTTATCTTTAATCAGTTAAGTTTCTCATTTAATATGCTCACTGTTCCATAAGTATGCTAGATTTTTGCTCAGTTTTTCACTTCAAAATCTATTCCTACTAAGTTTGAAAGTTCATATTCAATCCTATGTAACCAGAATGCATAATTTTAGAGTAGTTCAAAATATTCACATTTATCTTCAATTAAAGAATATTGGAGAATAAAAAGCATTTCGGAAGAATTAATTAGATTAATGATTTGTTGAATGGTTGAGAAAAATTTATGCTTCTTTTTGATTCGTTTTCTTCATGAGCATATTTTCTGGAATGAATTGACGATGTATTATAATCGAGTAATTTTCATCTTATTGTTCTTGTTCGGATTTGGTAATACAAAGTAGTCAATGTTTGATTTACTATATTGTTTCAGTTGTATCGATGATCGATTGATTTGTTCTTCAAAATGATCTAAACGGAAAAAGCATTTAATTTTTGATACCTTATTGACGCTTAATATAATAAACGGAATTATTCTAGCCTATGTGAGAAGTAAGGTTAAAAGTAAGAGAAGTAAAGCCAAATTTTCAAATAGATAATAGCTTAGGTAATAATAATAATTTCAGTAATATAGTTACCGTGGCGATTCCATGTTATCTTTTGCATAGTTTTTTCCGGATTAGCAGTTTGTGTTGGTCGATTGTGTTTCGTTATTCTGAAGTTTTATATAATGTTAAATCATTTTTAGCTAATCTAATGCACTATTTTTGTAAGGTATTTTTCTTTTTCTTAATTTCAAACAGTTTACGATTCAGTGAAAAAAATTTATTGATATTTGAATTCTTAAGTTATCTTTAAGGAATTCAAAGATTATAGCATCTAATGTACATGAAAACATTTTAGAACTAACATTTAAATGATGTGATACTACGATAATTAGAAAATTTTTTTAGATTCCCAATCATTGTAAAAAAAGAAAAAAGAAAAAAGCTTTTGCATATTGTAATGGTTTCGCTTATGATTGTTGAAATAATTATACTAAACATTCTTGGCATTAATTACCAATCAACAAAATTTGTGATAATCTTTGATCAAAATTGACAGGAACCAGTTACGAACGTAAGTTTATCATTTTTGTCTTGTTCAGTTATTTTTTTTTTTTTTTTTAATTCTGAAATAAAATAAATGGAAAACATTTTTTTGCATATATTTAAATCCACCATGAATTTAAATGATATAAAATTGAAGAAAAGCGATGCATGCATAAGTTAACTTTAACATTAGATATTATTTAAATTAAAAAGCATACTTAAAATCGACGGTTGATCCATTTAAAAGAGTATTGCCAGAAGTTGGAAGTACTTTCTGGCTTCGCCAAAAAAGATCAGGCCTTATATCCGGTACACGATCATAATTATCAGCAATGCAAAAACTTTGCTAAAATAAAATAAAAATTTGGTAAATTTGAAAAAATTTAGTGTTCAAATAAAAATTGAGATAAAAATTTAAAAAAAAAAGTTTGGTATTTCTTACTGTAAAATTAGTCTAATCATTTGACTATTTTCAACTACTGTTCATACTAATACATTTGTTAAATTTTATCAATCTAAAGAAAGCAAAATTAGAATGATGAGAATTTTTTTATTTAAATTATTCGTTTAAATGTTTGCAGATGTTTTAATAAAATAACGACTAGAGTACCATTAATATATTTAATTTTCTATTTCAATTTAATTAATTTAGCTGGAAAATGTTCACAATATCTTTGCTACGAGAATTTGAAATATTAATTGTTCACTTTCAAAACATTGAATGAAATCTCACAGTAAGATTTTTATCAATAAAATATTTGAAGTATCTTTAATACATTTAATTTTCAATTTCAATTTAATTAATATAGCTGAAAAAGATCTATTCAATGAAAATTTGAAATATCAATTTTCACTTTTAAAACATTAAATGAAATCTCACAGTAAGATTTTTATCAATAAGATAATTGAAGCACCTAATTTTGATTTTAAATTTAATTTTCAATTTAATTTAAAACATTAAATGAAATCTCACAGCAAGATTTTTATCAATAAGATAATTGAAGCACCTAATTTTGATTTTAAATTTAATTTTCAATTTAATTTAAAACATTAAATGAAATCTCACAGCAAGATTTTTATCAATAAGATAATTGCATTCGAAATCATCATCATCATCACCAAATGGATTGAGCATTGCTTGTGCAACTTTTAACCAACCAATAAAAAATACAAATTGTATCATTGTCATCACTGGTACTATCAAATCAAGCTATAATAAAAAGAAAACTTGAATTTGTTTTTTTTTTTTTTTTTAATTTATTTCAGCAAATAATTTTGAAATTTTAAATTTATTTATTATCAATTTTCTTAACGTTGATAAATCATTTCAAGATTGTGATAAAGTTTAAAAAACAAGAGTTATTGATTGATTTTAAAAATTTAAACTAATCAAATTGCTTTTCATATGTTAAAAATTGATGCTAATTTTTCAAAATAATGAGCAAAATTTTAATTTGTGATAATTTTAAAATACTTTTTAAAATTTATTTTATTATTTAACAGCAACAGTTCCTGCTAATTTATTTGCACATCACAGTAACAATAGAATATAAATTGTTTCTATAAGTTATTGCTTGAAATTAAAATGCAATTTCAAAAATTTGACAATAAAAGCTTACATAAGTTGTATGAATATTATCAGCAATGATAAACTGTTGACTGATAAGGCAGATAAGGAAATGAACGTAAACTGCCAAAAATACAACCTAAATTTTTATCAGTTATATCAAAATTTTAATCATTCGCAAATATCATTATTTTATTTTGATCTAAATTTTAATCATTTAAATTTATATTATCATTCTATTTGAATAAAATAAAATTATGATTTAAAAATCATTTCTAAAAGAAAATTTAAAGCAAAGAAAAAGAAATTCTTTTTTCTTATTGTTTTATACAAAATTATAAATAACAAATAATAAAATTAGAAAATTTGAGGAAAATATGCAATTGAATGAACTTTTTTTTCTTTTTTCATTTTAATGAATTAAATTTAAAAATTAATTCAACAATAAAAAGAAAAAAAATTTTTTATAAATTGAAAATAAAATAATAATTATACTTGTGAATAAACTAAAGGTATAGGTACCCAATCATAATTGCATAAAAGTTGTAAACTATGACGAAATTTATCAACTTCCTGAAATTTTCACTCAATTTTTTCAAATTTAAGATAAAAAAAAAAAATTTTTGAAATTTTAAATTGAAAATGAAAAAAAAAAAACTATTTAATGATTAAAAATTTTGAATTTTTTTTTTTTGTTTACAAAATTTTACAGCGCATAATTTCCAATAGAGTAAATCTGAAGTAATTATTTCTTGTTTTCGTGCATTCAATGCAATAGCATGAATCCATCGTATTGGTATCCAATATTTATTATATTGAAATTTAATTAAATCTAATTTCTCTTTTTCATTCTTCAAAAGAATTCCTGAAAAAAAAAATAATCTATTACTTGTAGTATTTAATATATATATATACTTAAATTTATATATAAAATGTTTATGATACTTTTAGATGGTTTTCAAATATTTACACTCATATTCATAAGTAAGATATTCTATTTTAAAAATTAAATTTAAGAAAATCAAAAAAAGAAAAAAAATTGAGAGATAGATGTAATTATTTTAAAAAAGCAAATATTTGTCATACAAATGCTAATTAAATTTCTATCTTACTTTTTTCTTTTTTTTGTAATTTTTAAAATTTAATATTTAAAATGAGAAAAAGTATAACGCACCAGCATCAACCATACTATCAATTGTTGGAAAACGTTTCTGTACTCGAATACTAATATCACGAAATATAAAAATTTGAGTTAAACATAAATATCGCACTAAAGTTCGACGTAATTCTTTAGTATTTTCATCATTACCATGAATACAATTACTAATAAATAATGCATATCTGAAAAAATAAAGAAATTCCTCTCTCTTTTTTTTTTTCATTTAATTAATAATTTTAATTAATATTTAATTACTAATTTAATTAATAATTAATAATTTTTTCATTTAATAATAATAAAAAAGAAATAACACTTGTAATAAAATTTATCAAATAAATTTAACAAATATAATCTCAAATTATTTCCATCAGTTAACTGGTAGTAATTATTTATTAAATTTTTATCTATGAAATAAATCATTTTTGAATAATTAAAAAAAGAAATCTTTGTTGTAAAAAAAAAAAAAAAAAAAAAGAAAAAGTTTACGATTCGATATAACCCAAATTAGTGATAATATTAGACCATCGTGATAATATTGTATCGACAAAAAAGCCAAGAATAAAAGTAATAGGTATATATTCTAATCGTGTATCAAAATAATAAGCTAAATTTCCAAAAATACTAAAATAAATTTTATTAAAAAATTTTCAAAAAAAAAAAGAAAAGAGATCTTTTTTTATATATTAATTTAATTTGAGATAAAAGATTAAAGATAAAATTTAAGTGAATTACATTTAGCTGTAAATAAGTTAACATTGTATTAGTTTAAAGATAATGGTAATAATATTAATTATAATCAATAATAATATTAATAATGAATAATAATAACAGTAATAAGTGATAATAATAGCAACAATAAATAATAACACTAGTAATAATTAATAATGATAATTAATAACAATAAATAACAATAACACTAGTAATAATTAATAATGATAATTAATAACAATAAATAATAATAACACTAGTAATAATTAATAATGATAATTAATAACAATAAATAACAATAACACTAGTAATAATTAATAATGATAATTAATAACAATAAATAATAATAACACTAGTAATAATTAATAATGATAATTAATAACAATAAATAATAATAACACTAGTAATAATTAATAATGATAAATAATAATAACACTAGTAATAATTAATAATGATAATTAATAACAATAAATAATAATAACACCAGTAATAATTGATAATGATAATTATTAACAATAAATAATAATAACACTAGTAATAATTAATAATGATAGTTAATAACAACAAATAATAATAACACTAATAACAGATAATAGTAATTAATAATAATAATAATAAATAATAATATTAGTAGTAGTAACAATGATAACAATTAATATTAATAATAATATATAATGAAATAGTAATAATAAATAATATAATAATAACAATTAATAATAATAATAGCAATAATAATTAATAACATTTAATAATAATGAATAACAATAATAATAGGAATAACAAATAATAATAGTATTTAATAGAAATAATGGATAATAATAATTAATGATGACAGTAATATTAATAACAATAAATAATAATAATAGCAACAAATAATGATAAACAATAATTTGATACATTTTTTGTTTAGCATTAAGGAAGTAATCTGATCGATAAATGAATGAAATAGCTAAGAAAAGTATAGTCCAAACGAATAATTCCTTATAAATAAGCTTCCAAACGCTGCCTTTCCATCGAAATAATATTCGAAAAATTGCTAAAGGTGACAGAGATGCTAATTGATGATGGTATGACAGTGTCATTGTTTACCTTTCATTTAGAATATTTTGTTATTGTTATTGTTATACCTGTAATTAATTACTTATTATTATTGTTATATCTGTAATTAATTACTTATTATTATTGTTATACCTGTAATTAATTACTTATTGTTATTGTTATACCTGTAATTAATTACTTATTATTATTGTTATACCTGTAATTAATTACTTATTATTATTGTTATACCTGTAATTAATTACTTATTATTATTGTTATACCTGTAATTAATTACTTATTGTTATTGTTATACCTGTAATTAATTACTTATTATTATTGTTATACCTGTAATTAATTACTTATTATTATTGTTATATCTGTAATTAATTACTTATTATTATTGTTATACCTGTAATTAATTACTTATTATTATTGTTATATCTGTAATTAATTACTTATTATTATTGTTATACCTGTAATTAATTACTTATTGTTATTGTTATACCTGTAATTAATTACTTATTATTATTGTTATACCTGTAATTAATTACTTATTATTATTGTTATACTTGTGATTAACTACATATTACTACACCTGTAATTAATTACTCTTTAATGATGGATTATTGATAGCAAATTGATATATTCATTATGTTAATAATTCAAAAGTTATTGAAGTGATAGCATATTTTTATTTCTTTTAAAACGAAAGAAAAAGAAAGAAGACGAAGAGAATGCTATATAATATTTAAGAATGAAATTAATTGATTGATTTACTTCCAAAGTTCTATTCTAACTATTTCAAATTCTAGCTTATAATTTATAAAATAAAATGTGCTTTTATTAATTGAAATTTTAAAAATAAATCTGAAATGACTGAAATATATTAAAAAAAAAAAAAAAAAATAATCTGAAATAAAATTCTGAACTAACTGAAATATACAAAAATAAATTTGAAATATATTTAAATCTAAATTTAAATTTTAGCATACACAAATCTATTAAAACCAAAATACAATTACTTATAAAAGCATTGAAATATTTGCACAGCATGCATGTATGTATGTATGTGTGTGTATCTGTACAATTCATATGAATTGAACACATTAAAACTAATAAATTAATCAATTTAAAAGTATAATTGTAAGAGAGAAAGAGAGAGGGAGGGAGAGAGAGAGAGGGAAAAAGAGAGAAAAAAAATGAAATAAAATTTCAATAACAAAAAGTTATTGCAATATCAATTCAACTATCATTTTATCGTATTTTTTTTTTTTTTTCAGTACTTATATTTTTAGTCTTTTATTGATTTATTCAATTGCACTTTTAACATCTGTTACGTTGAATACGTCATTTACGTCATTATAATTTATTCGTTTTCATTCATAATAATGATCGTTTCCACTTTGCTTATTTGTTAATTTCACTCTGTGGATTTTAACATGAATCACTCATTTTATTTGAAATTATCAAATGAATTTAAAAAAGTTTTAGTAATACATATGTAATGCAATCATTGCAATGCAATCACTGTAATGCAATCACTGTAATGCAATCATTGTAATGCAATCGCTGTAATGCAATCACTGTAATGCAATCACTGTAATGCAATCACTGTAATGCAATCACTGTAATGCAATCACTGTAATGCAATCACTGTAATGTAATCGCTGTAATGCAATCACTGCAATGCAGTCATTGTAAAATTTCATGAGAATATTCCTTAATAAAATATAATTTATTTTATTAAAAAATACTACAATTAAAAATAAAAAAAAAAAAAACATGTATGTATCAATTTAATTTGAATAATTTTAATTTAAATTATTAAATATCTAAGAAAAGAAATTTTTTTTTTTTTTGCTCAAAATTTAATCTATTACAATATGATTTTAATTACTTTAAATTTAAATTCATACAAACCTTTCAATAATATATTAAATTAACTATTTTTGACAACAATTTTAATTGCAATTCAATTTCATTTATTTTCCATTACATTACTATTATTATTATTATTATTAAGTAAACATTTTACATAATTAATTCAAAAAAAAAAAAAGAAGTAAATAATTTAATAAATGTAAAAATGCATCTATAAAATGAATTTAAACTTTCTTTTTGCATATAAAATTTATCGATGACATATTGTCACAGTCGATGTCACTCCATTGATCATCCATTATTCCATTCCAATTCACCGCAACACATTTTACATTCATTCCGCAACAACTATTTGGTTCTGATATACGCCAATTTGTATAATTTAATTTTGTATAATTATCAATCCAAAACCATTTAGTGTCATTTTTAATTAAACCAATTAAATATGTATTATTTCCAACTAATCCTAAAAAAAAAAACAAAAAAAAATTTCGAAAAAAAAAATTCAAAACATTTAAGTTTGTTTTTTTTTTTAAAAAAAGTAATTTACTGAAAATTTAATAAATAATTATTAGCAAAAGTTTTAAATTGTATTAATTTGAAAATTTTAATGATTGAATTTATTAAAAGAGAAAAATAATAGCAATAGATACATAAGTAATTTCATTTAATGACACGTGGAGTAATACGTGAAATACACGTATTACTATTTGTTTGAAACGTTTATTAAATTAAAAATAAAATGATAAGAAAGAGAAGAGAAAATTATAATGATAGTACGAAATGATATACCACTGATAAATTTCATTTCATCAAAATCACTGATAGATGTTAGGGATGCATTATATTCAGAACATATTGCTGATGCATTATGATAATTTGTTGAATTTTCTCCCTGAATTTTTTTAATTTTTTTAAAAAAAATAATCACAAATCAAATATCTATTTATTTTTGAATTATTTTAATTTATTAATTCATTTTATTTCACTGAACTTATTTATTTAATTCAAATTTTTTACTCCAATTTATTCATTTCTTTTTTCTAAAAAAAAAAAAAAAATTGAACAATTTTTAACATTCATTATTTTAATTTTTTTTAAAAAAAAAAAAAAAACAACAATCATATTCCAATGTCTAAATCGTTATTTTCATTTAATTTAGAAGATTAAAATTTTTTTTACTTTCCAATTATTTATAATTTTGTAAAATTTTCGTCATTGATTGAAAACAATAATCATACATCATTATTCTTTGGTATTATGTTTTCAATTCTGACTAAATATGCAGTATAATTTAATTAATTGAAAAAAAAACAAAGAAAAAATATTTTGAAAAAAAAAGAATGAAAACTTACAACATAATAACAAGAATTTGTTTTAGAAAAATAAATCCAATCATTGAAGCAAATATCTGAAAAAAAAAAAGACACTTAAATATTATCATTTTATTGACTTTATGCATTTAACATTAATTTAAAATATTCTTTTACCTTTTCTTTGTTATTTGTCAACAAAAAAAAAAAAAAAAAAGAATCAAAAAACTTTCATAATTTTATCAAATTTTATAAGAATTTTAAAAGAAAATAATAAATAATCAATACACTTATAAAATAATACTAATAATTTCAAAAAAAAAAAAAAAATGATAAAAATTTAAAAAAAAATGCAAAAAATTTTTTGAACTTGCCATTATTAGTAATGCTGGAATTGTTATCAGTGATATTATCATTAATCAATGCAATATTATCACTTATTGTTGTGATATGAAATGTTCGTAGTAATGCATTAGATGCATCACGAACAATTTCAAGAAGTTTTTGAAGATCTGGTTGAATGAATGATGATTGCTCTGAGACATAAATAACATTTTCAATATTTTTCTTTGAAATCATTCTATCATTATCAGTATTAATCATTTTATTATTATCAGTATTAATCATTTTATTATTATCAGTATTAATCATGTCTGATAATCTATAAATTTCATTGAAACAATTCACACTGGAAGCATTTGTTTTTAATTTAGAATTTGAGCCATGAATAATGTCTGTTGTTGCTGATTTCATTGTTATCATTTTTGTTTGATTATCAAGTGCATTACTGATATCAGTTAATTCAGTTGTATCATTATTTGTTAGATTTTGTAATGATATTAATTCGGACAGTAAATTGCTAATTTCAATATTTGATGAAATGATTAAAGTTGAAGTTTCATTTGCTGAAGAAATGAATAAATTTGAATCCGTTAAATTTGCATTCAATTCTAAGGTTAAATTGTTAGAATTTGTAAATTTTAATTGATCCAATTGTGAAGCAATTTTAATTAAATCAGTTTCATTTGTTAAATTATCATTGTCTAGTGATTCCATCGTGTAATTTGTTGCATTGGGAATAATTGGCGCAATTGTACAATTTCTATTTGATAAAATATCGCACATTTCTGATTGTTTTCCTGAAAACTCTTCCTGATCATTCCATTAATTTAACTGTATCAATTGTTTAAAAAAATATTATTTGAATTAAAAATAAACAATTGAATTAAAAAGAAAGAATAAATTTAGCACATCTAATTTTCAGTTATTATTCAATAAAATTTACTTTTAATAAATAATAAAATAGGATAATTATAACTGCGCAAAGAAATAAATCAGTTATAAAATTAATAATTTATTGCATAAATTATTACTGTGATAACCTTATTATCACTTTTCCAATTCAGAACTTTACTTCAATCTCAGAAGAGATAAAATACTGATAATTTTTATTTTCAGTTGAAAGATAAAATGAGAACAAGATAAAAAGTAAAGGAAAAAAAAGATATGATTATCACTATTGTTATCATTATCACTATTGATGGCTTTCACTCTTTACTAAAATATTGACATCAATTTTATGCAAAATATGTCTCAACTATATCTTAAATTAGTACCTCTTGCACTTCATTAATTATCAGTTAGCTTTTCCTTTCTTTTCCTGCTAATTAATTAAGCAAAATGATATTAATTAAAAAGTAACTAACCTGAAGAAGATGTAAAGTAACCTGATTTGAATATGATGAAAAGCAATTGAATAGCGTACCACCACATATCAGTTTCCTCAAAATTTGATAATAAATTTGAATGAAAAATGAAATTCATTGAAGCGCTATAAATTATCGTTCGACTTTTATAAAATATTAAATAAATTTATCGTACCTTTCAGAAAAAAGCAAAAAAAAAAAAAAAGATAAAAAAAATATTTGCTTTTTAAGATATTTGAATATGTTTTATTTTTCTGACCAATCTCATCATTTTATCATTTATAATCAATTTAACAATAAAATTTATACTTTTACAATTAAACTTTTTTTTTTTTTTCAAAAATTTAACATAAATAAAAAAAAAAAAACTGTTATCACTAATGTCTTTATTTTTCCTTTTTTTTTTTTAAACTTTTTATATTAAAATGAAAATAAGAATGAAAATTATTGAAAAATATCAAATGGAATAACTAAACGATATGATTTTGTTTATTGGTGACTGTCACTGACAGCAATTCTTGTTACAAATTTATTTTTATGATATAAATATGTCTTCTAATATTATCAATTATGAAAAATAAATGAGAGCAATGAGAGAGAGAGAGAGAGAAAGGGAGAGGGAGGGAAAAAAAGAAAAGAAAGAAAGAAAAAGAAATAGCAAAAAAATTGGGATGGAATTTTTTTTTTAAAAAAATTTTTGCTATCTTTTTAGAAATCTATTCTCTTCTATATATGTATTAATCGATACATTTCAATAAGTTTTGCTTTAATTTAATTTTAAAGATGAATTAACTTCAGTTCAATAAATTTTTTTAATATCTTGATTTTAGTTGAATTTAATAAATAATATAACTGATGCAATTTTTTTTTTTTTAATCTTCAAATTAAAACTAGAATTTAATCTTAACTGGGAATTTTTTTTTCTTTTCATATTTGATGAATAAAATTATTAACATGTTAGCTTACATTTTTTATTCTTATAAAAAAAATTTTTTTAATACCAATAATTAAATTTTTTTTTAGTTCTAAGAAACTAAAAAAAAATGAAATTTAATGTTTTTTTTATAAAAAATTTTGATAATGAAATATAATATAATAATATCAAATTTGTTGCTTGTAAAATGTTTGATGCATTTTAATAATTCAACATTAGCTTCATTAATTAAATTCTAAATACACCGTTTGAAATTATATTTCATTTTTTTTTTACTTATAATTATACTTTAATTATTCATTAAATTTTACTTCCAAATTTTGCTAAATACTGCTAAATATTAATTAACCATCTTTGATATTTACATTGTCCAATAGCTTATTTTGGTAACAAAAAAGACAAAAGCAAGAAAAAATGATTACATTTTTGATGAAGTAATTAAATAGAATTAAATAGAAATTTACAAATTTAAATTTAATGAAAAAATTTTATTTATTTTTTCCAATCTATGATTATAAACTTTTTCACTGATGCATGAATTTATTTATTTTTTTTCTTTAATTGTCCACTTACGATATCTATTCGCTTTTATGATTGAACAGATATGAATTGCATTCATCAAATTTTCAATCCCTTTTTTTTTTTTTTCTTTTAACAATACATATAGGCAAAAAAAGAAAATTAAAAAAAAAAAAATATACACGTAACGTATACATGTATACAAAATAATATATATGTACGTATGCATCACGTGTACTTACGTAAAAGGTATATCTTATCAGTTAGCATATTTCTTGTCTTCTTATGACGAATGAATGCTAAAATGAAATTTTAATTTGAATTAAATGAATGATGGCGGTGGGATTTAAGATTTACACAGTAGTCAGTCAAGTTGATATAAGATCACGCGAAAGAACTAATGGAAGTTTAGTTGTAGAAAGTTTGGTGTAACAATTTTAGTTTCAAATGTTGCGATGCTTTGGAAGCATTTTCGATTTATTGTTCTTGAATGATTAAGTATTGCATTAGTTTGAAGATTTAATTGTGAAAAGTTTGGTGTAACAATTTTAATTTCAAATGTTGCGATGCTTTGGACGGATTATTATACTTAAATGATTAGATATTACATTAGTTTGAAAATTTTTGACGGTGATTTGATTTATGAAAAGTTTTCCTTTTTTGTTCACTTGTTTAAAGATTATTTTATAGAAAGAATAATTTGCATGAAGGAAAAAAATTGTAATGATTGATAGAATACTTGAAAATTTGTATCTGAGTGATGTACAAGATGTGCTAAATGAATTTAGAATTAATCGACTCAAGCATGAATTAAAGGTTTGTGATTTTCGTTATTTTTACTGTATTATCATTTGATCTTTAAAATTGTTTCTTTTTTTAAATTTTACAAAGCTCGTTTTATTTTTAAAATTGATTCCTTTTTTCAACTTTTTTTCGAAGGAATGTTTTTTTTTTTTTTCTACATCCATAAATAGTTTGTCTATGCTTCCTAACAATAATAACATTCGTTATAATTTGTAAATTTCAATAATTTCGAGTAAATATTGCTTTAGATCAGTCATGTTCTTACGGTAGCAGCAGAAGGTATTCCAGTGGAAAAACGAATTTTTGGGATATCTTATATGTTTATTTATGCATTAGATACGAATAAACAAGATATGTTCGCAGATGATTTATTAGGTATTTTATTCCAGTATTTATTTCATTTCAAAGAAAAAGTGAAAAGTATAGAACAGAAGAGCTTAAAGGTATTTCATATTTTGATGTGTTGTCGCTTATTCTTCTCTTTTCTTGCTCTTCTTTGTTCTGAGTACTTCTATATTAAAATAATTGAAATTATAAATGTCCTATATATGATAGGCAATTTACATGTACGTTTGCGTTTACCTAACGTCGATTTGATGTGTTATAGCGAATGCGTTGATGTTCATCAGAACAAGTTTTGAGAATAATGGACGAGTCCTTGTACATTGGTACGTTTAGATACAATTACTGAATGATGCAACTAGTTAATCTGTTTGTTTCTTTTCTGCTATTTTCTTCTTCAGTTTTACATTTGAGCTTTAATTTTTTATATAAACAAAAATTAACAGCGTAAAATATTTCCATATATGTAATTAATCAATAACAATCCAACCAATAAGCTGCGTATTATCTTTTTTTTTTTTTTTTTTTGTTTATCCATCCGTCACCTTTTTTCGACTTAGAATTATGTACAACAGTGCTGCAATGAAAGACTATTTAGTTAAAAGAATAACTAATGTGTAATGGAAGTTAACAGCAGAAGCAATCCATAGTTTGATTAAGTTTTATTTCTTTATTCAGCTTTTAGATCTAATAATATAGCATTTATTATAATTAATCTGAAGTGATTAATAGAGATTTTAATATAGGATTTCTCTTAAACATAGAATTTCTTCAGTGAAGCTGGTATATCACGTTCAGTATTTATTGTTGCCGCTTATCTAATGCAAAAATTGCAGTGGTCATCGACAAAAGCTATTGAATACATACAAAGGATACGACCTATAGCGCTGTCATTTTTTAGCATTTTTGAGCAATTCGTTTCATTTCATTAAATTCTGTGAATCATCGATTCTTATATTGGCAAATTTCTTTTACAAGAAAATTATTGCATAAATTCGTTCGTCATATATAACACCAGTTTTTTCTTAACTAGATTTGTTTATTCTCTTAAGTGACAGGGAAACAAGAGGAAGTTCTTATTAAAAATTCAAACTTTCCAAACTTACTTTGATATTTGAGTCTCACTGTCAAACGAAATTGAAAATTGTGTAAAATTAAAAAAAAAAAAAAATATATTTTCGTGATCTAGACCAAATGATGGTTTCATGCAGCAGTTACAAATATTCGAAAGTTGTCATTTTATCGCCGATATCCAAATTATTTCGCAGTGTCAATTGTACAAAAACTGGTTATTGAATATCTCTTCAGGTAATGGTATTACTAACTTAATAGCTTAATTAGCTTAAAAATTAACGCAAAATAAACTTTATAAATTTCTAGAATTGGCATGAGTCTTGCATGTATAATGAGAACTTTAAATATTGAAAAAAAAAAAAAAATGAATGCATAATGAGCACTTTATATATAGCAATAATTGAATGAAATGTGATTTCATTAAAATAATGTACCAGATCATATATTCTAGTTGACATCCGGTCTTTCGTCTAAAATATTACAGAGAACTGTCATAGTTTAATGTCTCGTATGTTTTACAAATAAACATGTGTGATAAATGCGAATGTTTTAGATGGCAAATACGACTGACATAAATTGACATACTTTTTAGCGTCATCTGCGAGATTTCCTTTGTACGAAAAGTTGCCAAACTTGATCGATTCCACTTGGTCGAATGTTGAATATCGATGTCGTAAATGTAGAAAAATTCTATTCAATGATAAGCATATCATAAAACATAAAACATTGACATCTCATAATGTTACTGGCAATGAGGAAACGGAGATAATCGATTGCGGTTTCGGTCATTTTATTACACCGATGGATTGGATGTCTTTAAATGAGCATCGAGGAAAAGTAACCTTTTTTTAGAGTCAAAAAATTTGATTTATAATCCTGTTCTATTGTTTTATTTTTCTTTGATGTGAGGAATCTCCAGTTTTTTTTTTTTTTTAAATCTCAGGACAATCATTCTTCCAGATTTTCATTCAATTAGATCTTATGTTGTTAATAAATTTTTCATTAAATAATTTTCAGATTTCTTGTTCTTGCAACGAAAAGCTTGGCCATTATGACTGGGGAGGACGTGTATGCAAAGGAATGTCTGGTAGGCCATGCGGAACAGCTGGTAAGTTTCATCTTGAATATTAAAAGTAAAATAAAATTTTGGGATTCTGGATATCCTGATAATGCTTTATAGATTATTAGTATTTTTTTGAAGTAATGCTGGGGAAAAAAAAAGCCAAAATAAGTAGTATCAACATTCTTCTTCACATGTATATTGTTTGCTGTTTGATGCAAAATGATGTGATATGAGATGAAATTTCCCTCAGTTTGGTAAAATGAAGTTTATGTTGCTAAGTAGTAGAGGATTTTTTTGCACCCATATTAATCAGTAAGCGCAATTCTTATGGATTAAGTAAAACTCAATTAGAGGGATCTAGTTTGAAAAGACAACTTTGCATAGCATTTCAGATATGACCTTAGTAAGTGAGAAAATTTCAAGTTCTGTGAAAGTTCTCATTGATATTTTATATGTGTGTTACAGTGCGGCCATGGATTTATGTAAATCAGAGCAAGGTCGATCGAAGTATGAAGATAGATCAAAATGTGTCAAGTCCTATAAACAACATCATTATAAGGCCGCAGAAATTTCCCTGTATATAGAGACATTGATGTAATCATAAAAAGTTTTATGAATTGCAGAAGAATTTTATGAATTTTCTTACTATCACACAAAATGTTTAACGTTAAAAAGAATCCAGTGTGAAGAAATGGGGGGACAACATAAGATGTGATCCATTTTTGATTAGTTATGATGTCGATCAATATTACTTTTTTGGAAGATGCGCAGACTGGAAAATGTCAATATTATCTCTTAGTGTTCACAAAAAAAATTTGCAAATCTATTATAAATTATGAATTACAAATCAAATTAAGAAATTAGAAGTTGTATGAATTTATAAAGTAAACTGAAAATAAGAAATACTGATTGAAAAGAGAAAATAGAGAAAGCACTTTATTTAAGCCTTCCTTTCCATTTCGATGAGTTGTTTTACGCCATCATGCATCTGTTTAACAGCCTCAAATTCCGTCAAGCCAAGACGAGCTTTATTTGAGATATCGTAAACACCACCTGCTGATTCAGAATGTTCTCCATGAATGCCACGTATCTTAGAAATAGATTATACTTAGGTTGAGAGCTCATCAAGAATTTAATAAAATGAAATGGAATATATTGCCGAATTATTTGTATTGGTGTTAATTAGCATAGGTTAATTTGGGAGTAGAACTATCTGAAGGAGTAGTATTGAACTCATTTTATCCTTTATATAAGACAAAAAAGTGTCAAGAAATGAAATTTGAAAGTAAAACTCAAATGAATATTTTGCTGTCGTTGTTTTTTACTCATAATTCGAGTATTTCGGCGTGTATTTATGCAGAGACTTATCCAGTTGGACTACTACTACTACTACTACTGAACCAGGATTTTAACAGAGAATATTAATATTTATAGAAGGCAAAATGATAGGAAAGTTTTTTGACACTTTCTGGAAAAGAAGTTACATACTTGAAGTTTTAATTCATCGCATATCTTCTTGAAATCCGGTTTTGCACTAATCTTCGGAAGACGTATATGTACTGAGGCACGTATTGTAGTGCCTAAATTTGTTGGACAGAAAGTAAGCCAACCGAGGCGTGGATCTCTTGAAAACGGTAAACTTTTTTCAATTGTCTTCAAACCTTTAATAAGTCGTTGCAATACCTGCAAAAATCGCATAATTCTATTATCAATGTATTTAAAATGAAAAAGGGAACTAAATAATTCTACTTACGTATAAGAAGAATTCGAATATTAATATTTGTGAATTTTAAAATTTGATCAAATAGTAGTTTAATAGTTGAGAAGTAAGCAAATCAGCAATCATTATGTCTGACGATATCTCAATTGTATATCTAATATGACCATATATGTAGGATATTTAAAAAACAAATCATTATAGCTAGTCAAATCTGCCGCTTTAATTTAATTTTTTGAATTAGTTATCAGAAGTATTACTCACTTGTCCAACATTACCACCCTTTTGCATGGATATTATGCGTAGATGATCCTCCTCATTGATCCATATGAGGAAAGTTTTATTTTCATTGTGGAAAATACCTCTTCCAACTGGCCAGTATCGGCATGCATTTGCGGCTTGCAGAAATCTTAAGTTTTTTAATAATATGATTAACTCTCCCTCTGAATACTTCCATTTTGTGACTGATTAAACAAAATAGTTGAGGTAACAAAAAAAAAAAGCAGGTGGCTAGTTCTATATATAAATAGTGGAAAACTTGTTAGAGCAAAATTTCATATTGATTAAATGTTTCGAGGAGAGAGAGAGAGAAACTGATAATTTTCTGGATTGTATAACTATCAGTAAATATAAGTTTATAGTTAAAGTTATCAATACCTGTCACCTTCTTTGAATAAGAAATGATCATCAATAAGTTGTTTCTGAACATCTTTTGTCATTCCAGTCAATGGATAATATGTTCCTTTCAGTTCCGGATCAGAGAATCCGCACAGAACTTTTCTGATCTGCAATTGTAATTTATTAATACTATTTTCCAAAAATATGGACTTCTTTTACAACATAAAATTCAAAAATAACAACTTACTTTGTCTTCCATTTCTTTGTAATTTTCTTCCGTAAGGCAAGGATTAAAAGGATAGCCTTGAAGCGAACGTCCACATCGTACTCTGGTTGAATTGATATATTTTCCTTCCGGATCCAAATCAGTGAGCAAACTTATTTTGTCTACATTAAAACATTTTTTTATTGACTATTCCTTCTTAAGTTAATGCACTTCTAAACAATATATTTACATCGCTTTTTTTATGTTTGAAATAGAGGAAAATCTACCTTCACCAAGGTCGATTTCCGGTTGTTTTTGGTTTGATCCGAAGCCATTATGATATTCTTCAATGATCGGATCGAATAATGGCTTGAATAGAGTATAAGAATCAGCATCTGGTGCATATACGCCAACACCAGAATCAAGATTTGCTACACCTGTATTAAAGAAAGAATCCAAAATGTGTTTTTTTTTGAAAATAATTAGTTCATTTATTATTATTATTAACCGCACTGTCTTTCCTTCTTTTTTTTTTACCATTATTAATCAACAAAACATTTTATAATTAATATTTGATTGCATTTAACAAATAATCATATAGTATAATAACTTTCAAACCCTTATTCATAGATGATCTAGCTAGGCATCAATTTAAGAGCACTACCAAGAAAATAATCAAATTTAAATGTGATCCGATAGAGTAAATCTTTTTTTTTTTAACATTATTTTGCTCGATATCAACTAGTACCTACCAATGTTTTGCGGATATTTTCAAAGAAATAATCAAAATTTCAAACTGGAATCTACCTATTGGCTATGAATAATCTAACCCAAATTGTTATATATTGTCTTTTAATTATAGCAAACAAATTTCAATGCATTCATTAAATAATAAATAATGAAATGCAAAACTAACCGGATTGTATAACATCTAAAAGTGTTGCACCAAGTTTTGTCTTTTTATTTTTTAGCTCATCAATGATTGCTTTTGATAAATGCTTCTTGAGCAAAGAGTGACAATCTTTTGCTTCCTGAAATCATTGATCATTTGCCGGAATAGAATAGGAGATGAAAATGATGCATATCAGGCACAAATGATTCATACACAATGATAAAACATTTGTAAAATTTGCAGTAAAAATAAAAGGAATACTAAAATTTTAGAATTTCAAACAAAATTTTCCAATTAATATATTTAAACAACTATGTAAACATGTGAAACATTTGATTACTTGTTTCTAACACAAATTAACCCGTAACTCTCTTGTTTACTTTAATTTTTATTATTTTCAAAACTTTAAGTTATAATTAAATTAAGTAGCGTGAAATTCACTAATATTACACAACACTAACTTAGACATCCACAATAATAAAGTCATTCAAATTCAGCGTATCATAGCGATATTCGAAATTGTTTTTCCAATGTTTAAATTTAAATATTTGAAAATATTAATCGACAAATAATTATTTGTCATTTGAGTAAAAGAAAGATGAAGATTGGTAACACTCAAGATAGTATTCAAACCTGTAATTTATGGAAACTTTCTTCGATTTTAGCAATAACATTCGGATCTGCCATAAGTAATTCTAACTGCAAAAAAAAAAAAAAAAAAAAAAAAAAAAGTAAAAGCATTTTCTCATTCGTGAAATGTGAAAATCTGAAATTAAAAAAATCCCACCACGGCAGTGATAATGGATTTATGGATTGAAACTAAAAATCAAATTTAAAAATGTTCAAAAAAAAAAAAAAAAACGTTTTATCCATAATGGAGCATTCCGCGATAAAAAAAATAAAACTCAGTAAAAATTATTTAATTAAAAAAAGATTTCCATGAAAAACTTCACAAGCTATGATTTACTCTATAATTAAAAAAAAAAAAAATCTAAACTATCAAAAAAAAGAAAAAAAAAAGATTAAAATAACCGAGGTTTTCATGATTCATTATATTTATTATATAACTTTATCGCCATCATTATATTATTATTTATCTCTCTTATTTAATTTGTCGCTTTTAAATTATCACTGCTTTTATAATCCTTCCTTCTTCGACCTCAATAAATTTTCAAACTAAAAAACAAATTATTTTTTTTTTTTTCTTTTAAATTTACAGATATTGTGCAAGAAAAGATATAATTATTTATCAATTTATTGTAAATATCTGAAGATTAGATCACTGAAAAAGTATTGCTTACCGATTAACGGTATCCATAAAATATATAAGTTGTGAACAAAAAAAAAAATTTTCTTTTAAAATTTATTCAAATGGAGCAGAAAAAAATTTTTCCATCTCATCCAATCATATTTCGTACACGAAAGACAACCCTCACACATTTGTTCGTTGAAAATCTATTACTTGTAGCAATAATTCATTCAAATTTTTGCTTCATAACAACAACATCAAAAAAGACTACATATATATTCTTGAAGAATATAAGGAAGAAGGAGGAACACTAGCATATACAAAAGACTAAATAAATTCTCGTGAAAAAAGTTTACAATCAAATTCCAATAACTGAAAATTTACAGCTAAAGAGGGAAAAAAAAAGACCTGAAAAAATAAATATAAACAGTTCATCTCACCCATATCAGATCACCTAATTCGTTGACAATCAAATAATCCATCCCATAATCGACAACTGACAGTTATTATTGGTCCTAATAATCTTCCAGGCTTCTGACTAATTTCCTGCATCTTGATTACTGTTGGTACCAGCAAAAAAAACTTTTTTAATTCAGCTTCTGTTGGTTGCATATTTAGGCCAAGCTGCCAGTAACCTATTTGTCGTATCACATTATAAAACATCACAGTATCGGATTCTGTTGCCAAATTATACAATTTTTGCATTTCTTCGATATTCTCTTCTATCACCTTCAACATTCACTGCATTTGTTTATAATTTGAGTAAATTGCCATCAAAATTTCATTATGATAATAATTGACAAATGTGAATTTATGATTGTAAGTTGAAGTAAAATTGTGTACTATCACTTGTGGATGGAATTACTTAGTTGAATTCTGCTTAAAATCGCACTAACATTTGATATTTTTACAGTGTACAATGGAAAAAAAATATTACACATTCAAATTTAGATTGTTTTTGCATAATTTTAAAGATATAAGCAATGAACTAATTACTGTATTTGTAATAAACCTTAAAGTTTCTCCTACTATGACACTGTAGGAAATACATCTACCAGAATGATAAACTAAGGAACGAACTTGATGCATTAAGCATTAAGACTGATAAATAATGACAATTTGGAGTTAAAAAAGACTAACTTTTTGCTTATCTTCGGTGTTATTTCTTGCGCTAACTGAAGCAAATCGGAAATTGAGAAGCACAGCTGGCAAAGAACTATCAATCACAATGACATCCTCCGAAAAATCAATGTCCTTAATTTTTTAAAAATGTAAAATTACCTAGGAAAGACATAAAGGGAAACAAAAAAGAACTTGAAATATCAACATTATATCAACATTAACTTGAAATAACAAAATTGAGTTTTAAATTCCAAATTAACAAACCTCTAAAAGATCCAATTTGCTCGAGAGATATTTATATTTACCATAGCAGGCAAAATTTTCAAATAAGGAGTACGGATTTGAAAGCCGATCAGAAAGGCGCACCAGAGCATTTGGATAATGAACTATATGTTCCATAAAAGCAAGACCCTCTTTATTATACAGGAAGACAGCCGGAATAACAATATCATCTTTGATTGTTTGATCACCAGACATTGCAAATGGTGGTAGCACATCGATACTTGTACCAATGGTATTATCTATAATGTATTCATTTTTGAAGAATAATCAAAATTAGTTGAAATTTTAAAATGAAAAACAACAGATTGATAAGATAGCCATCTTTTCTCCTATAAAGAAATTACGACTAATTCTGCAATCTTCAAAAATTATTTAACTTTAAACACATAAATCAATATTTCTGTTTCTCTTAAGCATTATATACCTTCTTCAAAGGATAATAAATCTGCATCACTCTTCACACAATAACTAAACCACCAATAATGTATATTTATATTTCTTCCTTCACAAATAACCTTTTCAAACGTTTATTTATTTTTCCTTTTTTAATATGCAATAAACCAACATATATCGAGAAAAGAAATTTTCAAGTATTACCAATAATAATGATACCAACAGCACCACTTCTTTGGACATAACGTGCTTTTTCTTGAAACATGCAATCTTGACGCTGAACTACTGCAATACGACCTTTCATCCTTGGCGCATTTGTTAGCGGACTACAAGCACGAAAAGGAACAGCAATTTGAACTTCGGCAATTACCTAAACAAATTGAAAAAAAAATTAATTAATTTCTAGGAAAAATAAACAAGCAGGCAAATAGTAAATCGACAAATAAATAAAAATAAATAATAAAGAGTGTATTCTTATTCTAATGTCTTCCACCCCTTTCAGTACAGCTAGAAAACATCTTACTGCGAAATTCCTCACATCCGGAAGAAAGGCAAATCTGTAAACCTATCCCTACCTACGGGTAGTAAAGTTACGATTATAAACACAACAAGCAACTTACTGCTTTATAATTCAAATTTTGGCCGAATTGTGCAGATGCAGCTCGCCAATGCAACTTCCCAAATATAGGCTGTGACACCACTTGGACAATTCGATTATCATTAAAACCTAAAAAAGAAAATGTAACGAAACAATCTATCAGCTTATGCGGTCTGATCACGAGCATATATTAATACTGATTGAATCAATTAAATTTAGTTTAAGGAATAAAGTCCACATGGAAGAAAGGCTCAGGAACTTGAGGGTAACTAGAAGAGTAACATTCTAGCATCTTATTCAGTAATTATTATTCATGCTTAATAAAGCAATTATAATGAATTCGACTTTCGAAAGAGAATCTGAACATTAAAAAAGAAAACGGTACAAAAATTTGTTCTTTAATAAAAAACAAACCAAATCCATGTCTATCTGAACCAGCTATCATGATCATTTCTTGAATAAACTCACTACCAAGAACGGCCCATTCCGGTGAAATAGCCTAAAAACGCAATATTCAATTTTTAAGCAAAATTTTGATTGCCCTTTCTCACTTTTTGATCATTACCACAACAGATTATCCAAAAGTTAATCTAAAAATTGGATTAAATTAGTGAAAATAATAGTCAAAAGTGATTTATTAATCAAATAAATCAAGCATGTTCAACAAAACTACAAAATTACACTAAATTTTGCATGCATCAAATATTCAAGCAAAATAAAAACAGGTAAAAAATTACATAATGAAATGTTGTTCTATTCATACTAAACATTCATTAAATAATATCATCGTAATGCATTATGCATTAATAGTATAAGAAATTAAACAATTATGCAGTGCATATAGTATACTAAACTCATAAAAGAAAATTTAATAAAAGAGCAAAATTGCTAAGAGAAAAGACTGATAAAATGAGAAGAGAAAATAAAAATGTGAAAAATAAAAAAAAAAAAAAAAAATTTAAACACAAAACTTAAGAAAAATTAAGCAGTTTGTTCTAACCTGAAAATGAGACTATAGCTCAAATAATGTTTCGAAGTGATAATAGTCAATGGTTGAAATTAGTAAACATATGGAAAAAAAAAAAAAAAAAGAAAGACTTAGATTTTATTCAATCACTTCTGATTGAAAATACTGAATAAGAGAAAGCAAATAAAAGAGATACAAAAAGAGAATATTTCAGATAAAAAAGAAAAAATTTACATTTGGCATAATATAGTTGCAAATATAAACTACAATCTGTTACTGTTGTTATTAAAATGACAATTCTACAGAATAATATGAAAAAACATTGACTAAGAAATTAGTAATTTTTTTAAATTTTAAAAAAAAAAAAAAGAAAAAATCCATGCTGTCATTAGGATCAGTTTTTTTTTTTTTTTTTAATGAAATTTATAAAAAATTAAATACTTATATTTCAATAACATTTGAATTTCAGAAAAAAAGAACACGCAATAACAGTAAGTTAAGAAAGAAGTGAAAGATATGTAATAGATATGTTCATAAATATATTTCTTTTCTCCGAGTTAGTAATTTGATATTTTCAAGTTAATAACTAATTTGATATTTTTTAAATTTTCTTTCTAAAAAATGAGAAAATAAAATATTTTGTAAAAATCAAATCATCATCTAAAACGTGCACAAAAAATATATATAAGTGAAAGAATAAAAAGTATTTCACTGATATGTATGTATATCATAAGGCATTAAGTGACTATCAAATCATATATTGCTGGTAGTTTTGTTACATTTCAAAGGATCTATCTATTAAGCAATAATTTATTTTAATTTTTTCATTTTCTCTCACCTATTATTCTCTTTCTACTTTATACAAGATTTCAAATCCATTTTTCTTTCAAAAAAAAAAAAAAAAAAAAAAAAAGAAAAAAAAAAAAAAAAACTAAAATTCAAAATTCTAAACAAACAATTAACAAATTTATCGAGTGCTTTCTAAAAATTAAACACCAGCAATATTCCATCCTAAACTGCACAATATTTTGCTCTATTTTTTAACTATAATTACATGCTTCACTTGTTATATTATTATTATTATTATCACCATCATCATCACCGTTATCATCATCACCACCACCACCACCATCATCATCATCATCATCATCACTATCAATATTATCATCATCATCATCGTCGTCACTATCACTACCATCATCATTATCATTATCATTATCATCTTTCATTTTCAAACATTCAGATGCGTTCGATTCATCTGCATTGATTGAATTAGCAATTGGTCGTCTTACAGGTGGTATTATTCGATAGCCACAAACAATCACACACACAACAACTGCAGCAGCAATCATAACAGAAATCCATAATAGGACAACAAGCATAATCATAGAAAGTAATTGGGTGACAGCAGCATGCGATGGATGAACGATGTAGATATGTGCTTGTTTTTTCACCGATTCTGTATCATCCAACATGCACACACTATTCAACATATTATTACTATCAGCCAGTGTTTCGGTTTCGGTAGTGAATTCATTCGCTTCGCCCTGAAAACAGGTGCCTTTGAACTTAACTTACTAATTTCTTTCTCCCCTTTTGTAATGATAGAAATGGGTCAAAAAGTGAAAGGTAAAAAGAAAAATTGCTTCTAAACGAAAGAAAGAGAGAGAGAGAGAGGGAAAAAAAAAAAGAAGGAATTTGTTATAAAGATATAAAATGATGGATAAATTTTTGAAATGAGAAATTTAGAAATTTTTAGGATACGAATTTTAAAAATAAAGGGCGAAGCGGACCATCCATCATCTACCACCGATCACTTATATTTTGCAAAAAAAAAAAAAAAAAAAAAAAAAAAAAACACGCAAAAGATATGCAATTCACAAATACTCCATGCAAAACCAATTAAAATAGACAATATTTAACATATTCAAATTACCATGATAAATAGCAAGACATTGTTCAAAATGAATAATAAGTAATCTATTCATTTTCTAGTCATAATCGAATACGCGAAACATTGAATCACTTTTCCTGTGATAAGCAATGTTCAGGTATTTTGAAACAATCAAAACATACCGAATCCGGTGAATGAGTTAGATGAACATGTCCATCAACTTGAAACTGCATTTGGATTCCCATCTTTTTCAACTGTTTTATATGTTCGACATTTGTTGCACTAAACGACCATGCACTTAGCCGTTTTGGCCTATAAAATCAAAATTAATCAATGTTTGGTGCCATATGGATAAAAGTACAGAAAATACAATCTGATTATTGCAAGGACCTTTACGTTTCAACTAAATCAATACATTCGCAAACGATTAATATTGATTCAGGAATATTCATTCAAAAGTTCAGAAGTATAATCATCCAAGATACAATACCTACTCCGCTAGTAGTGGATGATCATTGAAGTGTATACTTAAGTATTTTATATTATAAATAAGATTTACAACAAACACTTATACTAACACTCTACTAATATTTTATCTCATCTGTTGAGCATATGAACATTATGACAATTATGATGTATAAATATTGATTGCAAAATTTTAAAAAGAACGCTACACTAACACTCTACTGATATTTTATCTCATCTGTTAAGTTTATGCAAGTTACTCGTTGCTTAAACGAAAGCAACTCATTTGCAAATGTTTTTATAAAATCCTAGAAGCAAATTTCAGTAACATTTTAGCTGTTTATAAAATGTAAAACAAACATCTTACAAAACTTAGAACCTATAAAACTTGTAAAATAAAATTATAAAACTTATAAGACAAAAAACCATACATTGTTGGACAACTACTGATGCTTTCCGAATTCTTCGTTAGTTCGCTGACAACATTTTGTACAGTGCTACGCAATTCTTCTGCATAGGCTGGTAAATTATCATACTTTTCACTGATCACTGTTGCAGGGCATGCTGATCGAAATTTTCTATTCATTATTGCATTTTCATCATCAATTATTTCATCCGGATCAATAATCAAGCGACGAGGAAGCTACAAATTTTTTCATCAATACAATAAAAGTTAATTTTTGGTTCATTTATTCATTAATTTTTGGTCTTATTTGAGTTTACTATGATATGCTTTATATTTTCACTGTCAAGTGATATCTATCACCAAAGTAGTAGTAAAGATTCATCAAAAAACATAAAAATGCTGTTAGCATCGTTAGGCAAGTAGAGCTAACTTTTTCGCTATTATCAGTGTCAGCGATTGAAAGTGGAATAAAATGAGCTTCGGTAGTAAGAACATAGTTATCCAAGTCAATTTTCAAGTCAGATGGATCCGTGAAAATCATATATAGATATTTCAATGTTTCCGAAAGCACGAAAGAATCCATTCTGAAAACTAATTCAATAATATTTTTAAAGAGAAAAAGACAGGAAGAGAAAAAAAAAACGTGTAACTTTTTAGAATCTTAGAAGTTCTAATAAAGTAAGTTCATTTATGCAAAGAAATGACTGCATGGATTCATACCGGTCTTCATGATTCATCGAACGAATATCTCCGACAGCAGCAAATCCACATTCAACTCGCAAAAATTTATTCATACTATCCAAAATCTGACAAATAGTGAAAGCATTTTTTAGGATAAAAGCAGAAAAATCAAAATATTCTTTCAAAAAACTGTTTGATCGAACAAAAATTGAAAAATTCATCAAATACTTACATTTTTCGCGACATGTAAGTAATGCTCATCTTTGGTTGCTCTGTACAGCAGATAGGTGCTTTCAATAAATTCCGGTCGAATAGGATGCTGGGCCCAATGAACTTGCAAATCGTGCGTAAATGCTTCCGGTAAGAATTTGTGTCTCTAAAACAAAAGTTAAAAGTCAAAAATTGTTGCCAGGAGTGCAGAAAAATATGCCGCAACATCAAATAATTTAATTAAATGTAGTAGATAATTTACAGCGTTATTAAATATTAATTTAAACGGATAAAGGAGAGAATGATTTAATCACACAAACTCAATTCCTTATAAAAAGGGCTGTTTAAAGAATAATGTTGGGGAAACTAAAGAAAAAAAAATATTTTCCATCAATCATGAACCAATGAAAAAGCATACTTTGATCACTTGATAAAGCGTTTCATGAAATTCGATAGCTGCTTTCAGATCACCCTTCAAAACCTGTATACCAGGCCAAAATGCCAACAAAGAATCCATGTAAGTTCTAGCCGCAATTGTTGGTTTGTGCATGTGAACATCGATAAACAATGGACCTTTGTTAACATACCTCATTATAGCATCATAATGCTGCAAAATGCTGAGAATTACCTTACATTAATTAGAAATTAGATAAACTAATATTCGAATGCATCGATCGTCCATGTTATCTAATAAAACTAATTTAAATTATCTCAAAGTTTTTGTTGTCCGCATATCACAATCTCGGAACTAGTGCATTAAATTAATCTGATCATTTTACTAATACAGTAAAGAATCGCAACCTTATTGAAGCGATATAAGTACCCCTCGTCTCCTAATAAAATATATGCCTTCAAACAATACTCGTAATAAGAATCGATTCCTGCACCAATACCCGCATCTGCAATAAAACTTGATTTTCAAAAAAAAAAAATATATATATATATATATTAAATCTAAAATTGTCCGTACTATTGGATCATAGGTTTACAGAAAATACAGTTCATGCTAACATTAATGAAAAATGAATAACAGTAAACTAAATACATGTAAAATAAAGAAATGAATAACATAAATTGGTGAGCCAATTCACAATACCTCTTCTTATCCAATCTCCAGAATGTACATTTAAGACAGTGCCCATCAAATCACTTCCTCGATGTCTTTGAGCCCAAAGAAAATCCATCGCTATTCGAGCCTTCTCCTCATAAATTGGTTTACCTGTAAGTCGACTCAGCGCAGCAAATTCGAGAATCATGGTTCCTCCACAAGCTGTACAAGTGTCATGTTGTTGTCGGAGAAAATCTAACATTCCATACTTAAGATTTATCTGCAAATTGGATATAAAAATACTTCAGAAAAAAAAATAAAGCTATAATTTTTTTCCTGAAATTATAATATTCATTATAGTTGATGAGTCCTACTCAACCAGTAAGAAAATTAAATACTTTAATAACATTCATCACTTTAGAACAGCTAAATCCACTCTTACTCTAGAATAAGGAATTCCACTACTGGTATTGAAAGCAGGAAGAAGTCTATCAGCTAATTCAGCAGCCATCTGTAACAATTCGTCTTTATACCATCTCAAACGATTCTCGTCTCTGGATTGTACCAGTTTAACCATTACGTGACCTATAAAGCTTTACATATTTATCTCTTAAATATGCGTGGATTTTTCCAATGACAAAAGACTATAAGTGAATATTTATGAAAGCTTAGCCGTATCAGGAACAGTTCCAATCAATAGCCAGATTAAAAAAAATTAAAAGTAACAGTTTAGCAATCACTCGCATTTACGGCTCTATTACAAAGTCAATTTATTATCCCACTCCATGTATGATACAGTTATCAGTAGCTGATACACTATTCAACTAATCCTTAAAACTGATCTCATGTCAAAAATGAAAAAAAAAAAATCGAGAGTGTACCTGATATTAATCCTCCTACCATTCTAATATTCGTTTCAAAAACTGATACAACTAAGTTCGAATCGAAGCGAACATTCTTTACAACTCGTTCCACAGACTTTTCAAATTCATCCAATTCATCCAACACAACTAGCGCATCCAATGAATCAACAAGAGTTAATGAAAAACTGCAAGTTTTTTTTTTTATCAAATCAACTATTTTTTTTTTTTTTTTGACCTCAAAAATAAATCTAGTAAAATTGAACTAATGAATTTTTTTTTTTCAAAAGCACTAGATTAAAAATGAGTTATCGACCAAACAACAGACACGGTAATACAAAGTTTTCAAAAGAGTTCACACTGCCCAAGACAGGAATCGAACCTGTGTCGCCACGGCCACAACGTGGAGTACTAACCACTATACTACTTGGGCCGACAACTTAATCCCTAAATATGCTAGAAGTGAGTGCAGTATTTAATAAATTTCAAGGCAATTGAAATTTATTTAGTCGAGAAGAAATAAAAGAGATAGAAAGAGGTAAATTCTGAATTATGCAAAGGAACAATATGCATTCTTATCTTTATGACAAAAAGAAAAAATCTCTCTTAATTCTCAATTTTTGAATAAAAAGTTATTTCATAATTTTTTGGTGATTGAAATGCAAATTTGTTGACAATTTTAAATCAAATATGAAATTTATCAATTTTTGTTACAAAATCTCTCTCTCTTTTTTTTTTTTTCATTTCAACTTCTAATTCGGTGTAAAATTTTATAAGCAATGAAAACATTGTGTTTCTTGATAATGGGGAAAAAACAATGCATATTTTTCATTTTGTTTTTCAACATATGTTTCTCTTCTTATAACAAATACAAAAAAAAAAAAAAGAACACTGTCGAAAAAGCTAGGAACATTAACATACTTATTAAATAGAAATGACAATTAGAATTCTTTGAATTACAAAAAGAAATGGCTAAGATAGTTTAAAACACGAAAGCTTTAAACAAGTTTTCTAAATATTTTTTGTAAATATCAACTAACATCAGCAATTAAAAAATAATTGAACAGTTAGTAGAAAAAAACTTACTTCCCTAAGGCGTCATCAATATCACCACGTGGTGGTGTAACACCTCGTTGTCGTCCTTTACATGACAATGGCATTAGTTCATCATGTGGATATGCATACTTCATGTACGAATTATACCCGTGCATGAACATTTCTTTTGCTTGCAACCTGTAAGAACATAATATAAAATGAAAAAGAAAAAAAAAAAAGATGAAAAATGTTTTTTGGCATATAAAAGATTCATCGCCCCATTTCAAATAACAAGAAGTATGTATTAAAGGAAGAAGCAAATCTTAGTTAAGAAATTTTTCAATTTTCTAGAACTGCTCAAATATTTGCTATTGTTTGAACTACGTAGCATCATATTTCAATATTAGCTATTGATAACATCAAATCAAGCAGCAAAATGTCAAATAACCAAAAAATATAGCCACTGATTGAATAAGAAAGGAAAGATTAGAACGGCTTATACCATGAATTGTAGTACTACTTGTTAACACACTACCAATAAATTATTATATGCTGATAATTTCAATGTACACTTTTATAGAGAGAGTAAAAGTATAAGAAAACTTATCAAACAGACTGCTATTACATCTTGGCACTCTAAGCAACAAGTTTAATATTAATATTTAATAATTCATTCGAAATTACCTGAGGGCAATTCTATCAATTTTTTCATTGTCGTATGCATTATTGCATGAGCTTAATCCGATATATATGTGTAGAAAGTATATACTATACATAAGTTGATTCATTGAACTCTGCCATCTCCATATACCGTCTAGCATATTTACGGCTTTAGGACGAAATTAAAAAGTACAATTAAATGAACACCAGAGAAGTGGAAATATAATTAAGTGTAAAGCCAACTTCACCACTTACTCTTATACATGTCGAATCCACAATCCTGAAATTACTTGCAAATAATTATTTATCAATAAAATATCACTTAAGAGCAGATTGCCACGAACATTATTTATTTCAACAGTGTTAAAACAAGCAATAAAGTTAGACATGAAGGAATAACATCCTAACAAAGTTAGTTCAAATAAAGTTAAAATAAAAGTGAAAAAGGATAACATAAGATGACCTGAAGAGAGAGATAATGATTTCCTAAGCATTTCATTAGTTTAATATTACTTCAAATTTACCAGTATTCTTATTATGAGGTTTATTATCCATTTCTAAACTTTTATTCTGTCTCTGCACCAGAAACAAACAGAAAGTTCAATGCAAAATAAGTATTAAAAGTACCTATTCAACATGGTACAATTACAAGCTATTAATTTATTGCTATGTTTCAATTTATTACAGCGCTCTTGAGCCAAGCTGAGCTGTATCTTGATCGTTTGACCTATATAAAGTAATTTTTTCTAACTTCTTATTTAAGTGGATGTATGATAGTTTGTAAGAACAAAAATTCATCAATAGAAACATAAACATCATTGAAACTATAAAAAGTAAACACAGTAATTACACATGCTGATTAAAGATCACTTGTCAAAAAAATAATACACCGATATGTACTGCTTTACGAACATATATCTAAATTAAATATTTTAGAAATTATTCACATTCTGCCTAATATAGTTATTAATTTCTCTTTGATTACTAATCACAAATATTAACATTGACACTAACATATATTTCCTTTCCAAACTTACACAGTCCAAAAGTTAGCTTCAAATTAGATCAAGAATAACCATCATAATCATCGATATATCGATTGAAATGAAACAATTCCGTCATTGCTCACGAATAACACTAAAATATCCACAACATTTACATCCTTTCAAACACTGAAAATCGTAAAATCTGTAATTCGTTTTAAAAGAAGGTACTTTCAGATTTCTATTAGGACAAACACGGCAAAACAATGCTAACAAATGGTATCTAAGAACATTGTACGACAACAGAAATCAATACGATTGATATCCACAAAAAAAGCAGAGAAATTGATGATATAGAAAATAGAAAATGATGGCTTACGTTTTCTTCCAAAACTTGTTTTCTTTTTCTTCTTCAGCAAAATATTATCAGCAAAAAGAGAAAGAGGAAGAAAAAAAAAAAAAAATAGTTCAAACCTTCCTTTCATTCTGCAATTTCGGATATCTTTATAAAAACCATTTTAGCATTCTTTTTCAAGCTATCTTTTTTTGAAAATATTTTAGTCGATGAATAAGTTATCTTAAACTTTCCACTTTAGTTTCATTTTATAGCTTTAATCGAAAATATCCTGAAAGATAACAAATGTTATTTTTTTTTCCACTTCTTTCATACTTTACTTCACTGAATCAAAACTGAAATTACTTTTTCCAAAAACACATTTCTAAAGCACAAGAATTGTGAATAATTTCACGAATAACTTCTAAATGTCTAACTTCTGTTTAATAAATGACTTCTTCATTTATATAACTTACATTCTCGGAACTGTATCGCTTCCTATCTTTCAAAGAAGACACATATTTCACCATTGTGAATCATTCATTTTAAAACAATAACACTGAAAATAAAAACTTAAACAATAGTTGAAATTAGAATGTTTTAAAATTTAAAATTTCACTCAAAATGTCTTAGAATGTTTTAAAATTTCAAATTTCACTCAAACATCTCTCCCTGACAACAAATAATAATAAAACATAAACTTCATCATCAAAAAATCAAAACTAATTTCGTTCGCAAATTGTACCACTAACCAGAAGAAAAGAGCAAAGAACGAAGAAGTGAACCCATTTGATGTATTCAATACTTCAATAGTAATTGTCGTTTTAATCTCTTTCTTATTTTGATTTACTTAACAATGTTTGAAATTATTATCAAATATTCTCATTTAGGATATTTTAAAAATTAGAAAAAAAGTTTTTTTTGGTAGATGAAAAAGAGCCTGAAAATATGATAATTTAAATTCACTTAAATAAATCAATATTTTATAAATATATTTTTAAATGACAAATAGTAATGCTAGAAAACATTGTGCACATAGTTAGCATATATTTTTGTTCTAAATATTGCATTTATTATTGCCATAGATAAAAGTGAATTATTACTAGAATTTAAGAAAAAAAAACAAAAGATAAAAATAAACTTTTCAATGAGTGAAATAAAACAGAAACTTTGCGAAAAAAAAAAAGAAAGAAAAAAGAGAAATAGAAACTTTGGCGTTTTTTCTTAATTCCAAAAATTCCAAATTTCGAAATTGGAATGTTCATTAGATCATTAAATAATGCTAATTAAATATTATGCTAACTTTGAATTATACCTTGTTTATTAATTGCATCAAATTAGTCATTATTTTTTAACAGTCCTTCAATATTACCATTATTTTCCTTTTCTTTTTCTGCTCAATTAACAAATTTTCAAATGCTAGAAGAAATATGATTAATTAAAATAATGAAAACTTTGAGACTATTAGTGGAAGTTAGGATGTATGTAACTGATAAGTCAGTCAGCTTTCAACATTTACTTGTTTATGATGACAATTTTTAGATGAAGAATTTTATATAATTAACAAATCAAACAGTTTATGACTGACAATTCACTTTTGTCGTGAAAGACGAAATATTTAAATTATATCCAAAACTAACAAATTCCTCTTATCTAATTCCTTTTCCTCGCACAACAAAAACCCTTTGTTAGTAAACCCTTCGTTAGCAAAACCCTTTATTAGCAGTCTTTGTTTCATATCATTTAAATGTCCTCCTCTGCTGAATATCTGGTCAGTTCAGTTCTGTATATAAACTAATCTTGTTAACAATCTTCTTTGTTCATCCATGAGAAATCCTCCCATCTAATCTCCATTCGTTAAATCAGTCTTATATATAACCCAACCAATCCTTCCATAACCATCATTTGCTTTATGTTTTGGGTGGTATTGGGATGCGTCTAATACTTTATAATTTTGTGTTATTTCACCATTTTTATATTATTGCATGTTTTATAATTATATCTTTCGTTACGCGTTTGTTAATCGGTGTAGCATCCGTACGACATGTATAAAGCGCTATTATTTGCTTCATGTTAAATAAAGGTTTAATTACCCAAGTTTGAGGTTTCACGACAAAGAATAATTTTGGTGCCCGAGGTGAGGTAAGGTATGTCGGCCAGTACAATTGTTCAAGCTACACCAGTAAAAGCGAATCTCGAGGGACTCCTCGATGAAATACAACAAATGGATCTAACTCCGTTAGACCAAAAAGCGACAGTAGAAGTATTGTGCCAGCAATACGAAGCAAGGGCAAGGATCATCAAAGAAAAGTTGATGCGCCTCGAAAAATACGTTGGCACTCTTGAGAAGATCAACGACAAATGGTTGGAACACATTCAACTAGCCCCAATGTCGCAAAAGAAAAAAGAAGAAGAAAAATACGAACAAATGGCAAATGACGATTGAGGTATTTTAAAATTAATTAACATAGGTACGGATACCATTATAACCTTATCTATGTACAAGGATGATACAGAGTTAGCCCTTAAACGTCTATCACAAATTAAAGAACCTAGCTTAACTGAATGTCGTCCAGTAGTAAATTTACCACAATTGTCGTTACCAACGTTTAGTGGAGACCCTAAAACATGGAGAAAATTCTGGAGTAGTTTCGAAGCCTCCGTACACTCTCAAAACATACCAGATATCCAAAAATTAAATTACTTGGTTTCTTGCTTAAGAGGAAACGTCCTACAGCTAGTAAGAGGTTACGATAGGGCACCTGAAAACTATGGAATTATAAGAGAATTATTAGTGGAGAAATTTGGTCGTGTTTCCACTATAAGAAAATTACTTTACAATGAACTCATATCTACAAAACGAAACAACCGAGACTGGAAAACAATAATCGAAGAAATGGAGAGAGTTCTAAGGCAGTTAGAAGCAATTGGCGAAAACGTAGAGCAACCTACCATCGAAACGATAATAGAATCCAAATTGCCAAACTGGATATTAAACCAGGTTTATCAACAAAAAGAAGAAGATGGCCAGTGGTCCGTAACAAAACTTCGACAGCTTCTCAGGAGCACCAGATGTCAATTTGATCTTTGCAGATTCTGTTCAAAAAATGGAAACCCTCCAACGATCCCGAGAAGCAAGATTATCTCTTCAAGGAGAACCCGTTGGCCTAATACCGCCTGATCAAGTTCTACTCAAATTAAAAGAGAATCACTACACAATAACTGAAGAAATGAAAGATAAATTTTTATTTACGACTCTTACACGGGACAATCAGGAGAGCTAAGTCGAATTGGAATTGATGTCCCCGTAGATTATCTAAATGAACTTGATCACAAACCATACATCAATGTCCCAAAATTCTGCGACACTGAAGAAGGGTTTCAGCTGGCTAAATCAATCATCCATAGTAACATCCCACCATCTACTGCTTCGGGAATTGCGGTGTCTTACATTGCTAAAGTAATGGAATCCATAACTGGTGTGCTTCAAGATGATTGGAAATCGTATTCAGTCATCATCGGTCACAAAGGGGATACAATAAGTCCACTCTCTTTACTAAATATCAAAAAAACAGAATTGGAATTCTCCAGAGTTAAACCTGAATCTGGAACGGCTGTGACAGATTATGCAATCGCAGCAAAGGCACTAATGGTATACCGAATAGCCCAAGCCCCTGCAGCTCAAATGGGTTACAAAGCAGAGTTAGTTCGAAGAATTGGGGAAGTATTCAAAATGGAACCATTCAATTTGGACTCAACTGCAGGAGTAATGAATGTGCCACATTGGATACAAGACCAGGACTACTGCATCCTAGTCTCTGCTGTGGACATGTTCTTTAGAAAATTCCCCAATCATAAATTTGAAAAATATCGAGCATGCACACTGGGTACATTCCTCAAAGATTGCGTGGTCATCACTTCTCTTAATCAAGCAGCCCAATGTCTCTCTATAGAACCAGCTGTATTACTTCAATATGTATTTAGCAAAGACATTGCAGATGATGTCCGACGACTAATTGGAGGAGGTCCACATGAAGAAAAGAACGTTGACCATTCATATTTCCAGTATATGAGAGAGATGAATCTGATACCGAGATCCCCCTACTCAGCATCTATCAATCCTAACCTGTTCACCTGGTGTCAGTTCATCGGAGTTCTGATGGGCAAAAGACGTTCGGTCCATGCTAGATTACTGGACTGTTTCAGTCCGTCAATGCTTCTTGTGTATGCCTCTTATGTTGTGTATTACATCTCGTGAGACACTGGGAAAGTACCCTTAAAACTCTCAATGTTTTTTGGGAAATCTGGAGAACCGAATATTTAACTAGCCTCAGAGAACGCACGCAAAGGGAAATTACCTCATCCAAAGGAGCACAAAAAAGAACTCCAAGAAAGGGAGAGATTGTACTCTTAAATGAAGCGGGAATTCCAAGAGGAATGTGGAAATTATTACGGATCAAGGACATCAAAATCGATAAAGACGGTAAAGTTAGGAACGTTCAGGTGGAAACTCCCACTGGGAAACTTCTCGATCGTCCAATAAATGTCTTGTATCCTCTCGAAGTTAATGATGAAGAAATTCATCTTAAACCTAATAAGAAAGAAAATATGAAAATTCCGGAAGCCGAACAGAACACTGAGGAGCTCCAGGAACCTATTGCGATGCGAACTAGGAGCAATACAAAACGACAATCTCGATTAAAGGAGGACAAAACAACTACCACCGCACCATCATCAGAAACCTGTAGAGATTTACACGATCAAGGACAGATCAATGGAAATAAACAAGCCCCACTTTCTTATGAACCCCACGCATTACCTACCTTTTCTGGTCGGGAGTGTCGTGAAAGACGAAATATTTAAATTATTATATCCAAAACTAACAAATTCCTCTTATCTAATTCCTTTTCCTCGCACAACAAAAACCCTTTGTTAGTAAACCCTTCGTTAGCAAAACCCTTTATTAGCAGTCTTTGTTTCATATCATTTAAATGTCCTCCTCTGCTGAATATCTGGTCAGTTCAGTTCTGTATATAAACTAATCTTGTTAACAATCTTCTTTGTTCATCCATGAGAAATCCTCCCATCTAATCTCCATTCGTTAAATCAGTCTTATATATAACCCAACCAATCCTTCCATAACCATCATTTGCTTTATGTTTTGGGTGGTATTGGGATGCGTCTAATACTTTATAATTTTGTGTTATTTCACCATTTTTATATTATTGCATTTTTTATAGTTTACGCGTTTGTTAAACGGTGTAGCATCCGTACAATATGTATAAAGCGCTATTATAGCTTCATGTTAAATAAAGGTTTAATTACCCAAGTTTGAGGTTTCACGACAACTTTTATCACAAATATTTTAGTTGTAATGTTTTAAATATATTATTTATAATTTATATAATGTGAATCTTTATCATAATTTTTTCATTTCTTCAAAATACTTTTCCATTATTTTTAAATTGTAGGGATTTACATTATAAAAATACATAAATCGAACACAAACAACTAGATTGTTGATGATGACAATTTGGATTCTTTTAACATTTCAATCATAGTCAAAAATCTCTTCAAACATTCTTTTTTTCCGAAAAACTCAAATAGTTCCATAACTGGTGGCCCACTTTGGCAATCGATTAGCGCTAAACGTATGATTCGAAATATTTGGACATATTTGATACCATGTGTGGAAGCTAACGATTTTATGTAATCTATATTCCATTCCTCGCAATCCATAAGACCACTCAGAATAGATGATGCTATTTGCGCATCAAACTCAGAAAGCATTTTTTCTGGACTAGTTGATCGTAAGAAGTAATACTTGAAATCACTATTGGTTAACTGTTCTAGGTAACACAGCTTTTGATCCGTTCGTCTAAAAAAATCAAGCACCTTCCTGACATAATCAGGATCGGAAATCAATTCTGCGGCAGCTTCTGGAAATATCCTCTGAAGACGCTTCATAATCTCTGGCACTAACTGTTTGTCAATGTCAGCATTCTGTATCGCTTTATTACCATATGCATCAAGAATCAACTGATCCATCTAAAGATATTGAAATTAGAATTATTATAGGTTTTCTAAAAGCATCGCCCATAATCAATATCAACAGTTGGCAGTGTTAAAATTATTGTGCAAGGCTTACATTTTAAAAAGTAAATTAATTAAAATCATCAAACTCGAACCTATGTGCCTTGGCGATATTATTTATTAAAATTTATGCAACACTTGAAAAATTATAGGTGTGTTAAATACTAATTATATATTCCTGAACATACCATTATATTTCGCTTGCCAATTAAATTAACATTAAATTTTTCTATCATTTCATCTAGTGTATAGAGCTTTGATACATCGAAATCTTCAATACCACTTCCATTTCGACATAAATAATTCAGCACCGCAATTGGCAAATATCCTTTGTCCACATCGTAAAATTCTACGAAAGCATCCTATAAGCATGTCTGATAAAAGTATTTATATTTGAAAGACTATGAAATTTTTATTTTTTGAAAAATCCTTTGATATTTTTATTTTATATCATAACAGCAAAAAATAAAGCTACAAATAGACCTTGTCACGTTTTGAAAGTTTCTTGTTTCTACTTCTCACGAGCAATGGAAGATGAATCCATACAGGAGAAGACCATCCAAAAGCTCTGCAGTTGAAAAATTAGAAGCATATTAAGTCAAAATATTTCAACATAAGAAGTTTCAGTATAAAAGTAAATCTATTTGTTTATAAATTCATTTGTTCATCTATATGAAATATGTAGTACTTCCTGCAACCATATATTAAGTCGAAAACAGTTTCATTACTTTGCAATCACTCATTTTACAAATCAGATTCAATTGATCCATCAATTTTGCCAAACAGCAAACTCTTTTTCATAATTAATCACTTACTGGTAAAGTTGTATATGCTTTGAAACAGACGTAAGCCATTCAGAACCACGTATTACGTGACTAATCTGCATGTGATGATCATCAACAACATTCGCCAAATGGTAGGTTGGAAATGAATCAGTCTTCATCAGTATAAAATCTCCTTCATCGGTTCTTAGCGTAATTTCACCGAAAATCTGATCCTTAAAATCACTTTTTAGAGAAAAAAGAAAATTGGAAACAGAGAGATATGCAAGAAAAAGTTAACAGCTATTACCTTAAAATATATTTCCTTGTTTTCTAACTTAAATCTGATAGCATAATTTTCACCATTTTCCAACTTTTTCCTAACTTCCTGATCGGTCAATTCACGACAATGGTTATCATACTTTGGCACTTCATGACGTCTAGCCGCTTCTCGACGTAACATATCCAAACGCTTCAATTCATGCTAATGTAAACATAAAATTTGGAAACTAATAAATTTGAAATTTTTAAAAAAGACTGATGAAAAGTTGTAGAAAAAAGAAAACTTGAAAACTGAAACTTTAGGACCAAATTAAAATCATTTGCTAACGAAAAAATAAACAATTGTTGCAAAATATAACAAAACATAAATATCAAATCTCTTTTCGGTAAAGACTGAAGAAAAAGAGAATAATTAAAAAAGATTAAAAAAACAAAGCTACTACCACTTGCATTTAACGTTTAATGCAAAGCATCTAAGCATATCAGCTTTTGACAACTGAAACAATTTCAGTTTTTAATTTATCGAATAAAATAAAATATTTAATAAAAATATATGAAATATTTAAACTTACTGTTTTCGTACAAAAGCATCGATATGCATTGCCACTATCAATAAGTTGCTCAATAGCATCTCGGTAAATTGCATTCCTTTCAGATTGTATGTATGGTCCAAATTTACCATTGTTTGAAGGGCCTTCATCTCGAAACAGCTCGTAACGGTCCAATGTTGCTTCTATCTGAATAAAAACAATTTGTTAAAATTTCATCTGTTTAAATTTTTGATCTTAAAAATACTAGAAGATTGCATTCAGTAAAAAGTATGAGAAATAACATAACTTATAAACATTAAGGTATATGAGAAAAAAAAAGAGAAACTAAATGAAATAATCTTTGGAAAATTGTTTTTTTCTAACAACAAAAAAAAACTGTCACAAGGAAACTGTTTTTTTTTTTCTTTTTCTTTTTTTTTTTTTAAAGAAAAGAATCAAGAAAAATTGAAAACACAGAAAGAAAATTAAAATACAATCTCAAAATTCAATAATTTTCCAGTGTAACTGAACCTAATTTTTATTTTTCCTCTTTCAGTTATTAAAACAGATTTTAAAAATAAGTAATAAAAAAAAGTTTTTTGATAATCAACTTCTTTCAGTTATTAAAACAAATTTTGAAAATAAGTAATAAAAAAGTTTTTGATTTTTGATAATCAAGTTTTTTGATAATATTTTTGATAATCAAGTAATAAAAAAGTTTTTTTGATAATGAAAATAAGTAATAAAAAAAGTATTTTGATAATTTTGATAAACAACTATTACATAGTAATAAATAAACATACCTGTTGCACAGCACCAGGTATCAAACGTTGCTGATCGGTATCTTCAATTCGCAAAAGAAATTTACCACCATGTGATCGAGCAAACAAAAAGTTATAAAGTGCCGTTCTAAGACCACCCAAATGCAAATTACCGGTTGGTGAAGGAGCAAAACGTACACGAACTTCATCATAAATTTGTTTATTGCAAAAATTTTTTGTCGAATTAATCAACTGAAGATTACACCGCAAACTTCTCAACATTGCTAATATCTTCTTCCTTTGGTGCTCATATTTTCATTTTCATTTTACTTATCTGAAATGCAACGGAAGAAATAAAGTATTTCATCTAGGTTTATCAAGATCAAAGCATTTCTTAAGTATTACTGTTAAATTTTAGCCTTTAAAAAAAAAAAAAAAAAAAAAAAATGGTACTATTTGAAATAAACGAGAGAAATTTGTATTATGCACTAAAATAATTAGTGATACAAGATGAGAATTAAAATCTTTACAACCTTATCCAATCATAAATAAAATTGCCAGCACGATTATATCGAATTACTACCATCAATACTTTTCAAATGTTAAAAATTGTTTGCATAATGCTTAACTGCTAAGTTAGACTATAATGAATTTTATTTGAATATAAATGATTTGAATTATATGTTATGATCCAAACTCAAAAGTTTTCTTACATTCATTTCACTATAAAATGGAGCAAATATTCAGCAATCAATTATCTTAATTAGTTAAAGTGTTACCAATCTATTCGGGAAAAATTAAAAATAATCTAATGATGTGACATATATGAACGAATAAAATAGTAGAATATATATATTTTTTTTTTTCATCTGAAGAGAGATGATTATGCTATAAGTAATGGCATGCGGTACCTTTATAGAGAAACCAATTCCAATTCCATAAGAAATTAAATGTTAAGATGATAAAAGAAACATGAATGAATGAATGAATGATACAAGATCAAATGTCAAAAAGAAAAAAAAAAGCAAATGCAACAAGTTTCTAAAAATAATAAAACAGATGATAAAAAAATCGAAATAATAAAACAATACTATCCTATTTAGTTCCATTTCTAAAAATACATTGCTTTTTACTTCAAATGTTTATTAAAGCTGAAATAGATTTAAAAAAATTGAGAGAACTATTTCATATAATTAAATAATACATGTTTAACATCGATTACACACTGCCAATATTTCAAATTTCACCAACAAATAACAAAATTTTAGATCTGCTAAAAATGAACTATAGAAATGGTAACAATCGACATCTCGGATTATATTCTTTTTTTTTTTTTTCAATCCATTGCAAAGAACTATTAATGCGGTTGATTATGGTTATTAAACTTTCATTGCTGTTCGTTTATAACTTTGAATATTATCAGGATAGAAGAGATATCAAATTTTAAGTTAAACTAAAAATAAGTTCAAATAGGTAAGTGATACATATTCACACAAGAACGATTTTCTTCACTCGGTTTTACTTCATCAGCTCAAATCCGAATCGGATATATTCAGTCGTTTTCGACGTGCCTTTACCTCATCAGTGAGTGCACCAAGATTTTCATGACTTGAATCTAAGTAACAATCCCTCAAGCAACCGTTTATACTCACTTTTTCCGTTTTCTATAATAAAATACAAATGTATCAATAAGATAAATGAAAATCAAATAGTAAAAGAAAATAGATAAGTTCGATTGGTAATATAGCAAGTTTATTACATGTTAATTTTGTCTATTTACTAAAACATAACGAAACATCTACGTAACAGTAATTTGTGCTACAACATATTCAGATTATGTTACTGTTCCACAAAGCTCAGTGAGAAATTTAGATTGAAATTTCATGGAAAAATCTGGTAAACTGAAAAAGATTGGATTTATCAGTGTATGATATAATATCATCTGATTTATAAATTCCGGAATGATAAAAATCATATGACTAACCGTGAATGTTCGTACCCACCAAACTGACATCCAAACAGATGCAAATGTACCAACAGCCTAAAATTTCGTTTTATTTCAGTATGAAAAAAAAAAAAAAAGTTAGAATATTCAGAGAAAATCGCTGGCATTGTTATAATCGTATTAGCATTCCTACACATATAACAATTCTAAGTGACTAATTGAAACAAACCATAAAACAGATCCATGAAACAATCAGTGTTAGTTTAACACGAGGAAGCTGTGGTCGTCCAAATTTAATGCAAATTGATGCTTCCAAAGTACAAATAGCCACATAAACCCAACTTTGCATACCCATACGTTTAATTCGAGGATCGGTGGCGAATAAATAAAATTGTCGTATGGTTGGGGCTGATATGAAGGCAATTAAAAGGATCCTTGAAAACACTAATGGATGTGATGTGTCCACCGCGAATATGTGCTTCAGAAAAAAAGTATTTAATTCCGTTATCTGAAAATTACATCTTCATTCGAAATAACTTTCAACAAAAAAGTAGTATAAACAATTTAGTAGATAAATTTTCAACATTAGATTTCGATATTCTGTCATAAAGTGAAACGTACCAGCCAAACTAAGACAAATCCATAAATTGCCAACGTTCTTCTCAGAGCGCAGTTATTATACCAATCCACTTTCATCCAACTTTCGGGAGTAAATTGTAGCACAGCTCGTTTGAATTTACCACGTGCTGTTTTGATATCTCTGGAAATTTAAATTAATTTAAAATCAACTTAAAAATACAACCTGATTGCAAGATGAATACCATGTTAAAAATATTACCTTATTAAACACAAACATATTTCTGATAATATTACATTTCAAGCTACTGAAATTAAGTGTAAAAAGTTACTTAATACTTTCCCAATGGAACTGTCGCATCTCAAAGAAATTTGACAACCATATACCAAACCATATGCCTAGTCCGTTGCACAACAAAATGTCCAAAATAATCGCATCCCACCAACATTCTTGAAAGTTTGGTAATAAATGAGCGAATAAAACCTGAATCAAATAGGTTAAGTCAAACAGTTCAAATACCAGTGTTCACAATTAAAAGCATAAAAAAGAAAAAAAAATTTTTAACAAACCAGATTATTAAAATTAAAGAGTAAAAAAATGATTCAACTGAAGTAAAAATGTGATAAGCAATTATTTTTTAAGCAAAAAATAAAAAGTACCTCGGTTAATTCCCATGCGATACTAATATACCAACATATGATAGAATGGCGAATAAGTAAAGCTTTCATGGCCCAGCCAACAAAATGTCCAATGGCAAATATATCCATGTAGCCCCATAATCGCTCCAATGTGATATCGGAACAGTTCACAGCATAAGCCTTAATAAAAGCTAACAGCTATAAAAAATTCAACCAAAATTTATTTAATGAAGAATAATACATTTGTCGTATATTGAAATATGCTATTCATATGTAAGTGTTAAGATAGTAGCAGTGAAATGTAATTAAACATCATTTTGACCAATTTTGAATTACAAAAAAATTCCAACACAATGTAGAATAAGGAAAAACTTACTTTTTCATCCAATTTTTCCTTACTTAAGCCTTTTGGATCAAGCCATTTCAATACATCTTTGATATCACGAAAGTTTTGAAACAATGCAAATTGAAGCATCAATATATATAAGACACTCATACCAAAAATAATGCGCCAGAAAACTGGATGTGGACGGATAAATGGACCTAAAATTATTCAAAAAATTGAACTGTTGACAGTATGAACAAACAAAAAAGAGAAGAAAATAATTAAATTTACCATTTGGAAATGTGAGACCACTGACAACAAGAAATAAAACAACTGCAGCAGTAATACCGGCATAAACATTAATTGCTGAACTGTCATCATTCCTGAAATATTCACTGTTCTTCATTTCTAAAAAATATAACCAATCATTGGTCGCTGGGTAAATAAAATAAGTAAATGAATGACAAAGTATTTCAGCAAGCTGAATAAGCAATGACTCGAGGTAATACAAACTAAACTAAAATGATATATTACCTACTAAATGCTGGAATAACAAGCAGCGCACAAATGATAACAAGAACCGTAACTGTACGTGGTTTATAAAAAAATTCCAAAGTAACGTCGTTTACAACACGTTCATTGATAAGCCGATAATGTATACAATCCAGCTCACGTCCTGTATATTTTCGACGCTTTTCATCACTTAAAATAACTGATTATATGCCATGGAATATATGGTACTGATAATAAAGTTCATTTCAAGAATGAGGAGTTTGTGTATGTTTTGTTAACTCAAATAACAGAGATAGATTAATTTAAATAGCAATTAATACATTAAAAAGCATATTAGTCCGAAAAGTAGGGTACTAATAACCACAATTAATAAAAAAGGTTATGAATACACCTATTCCTCGTTGACTTGAATAACTGAAGTAATCAAAAAAGCAATTTATGGTTTAATAGACTAAGATATAATAATATAAAATGTAAGATATAATCTGTAGCTAATATATAATCAAAGATATAAGATTAACATAGATAATGAGGATAACATAATGTATAAAGGAGGAGATAAATAAAAGTTCAGAAAAAAAAAAGCTTTCATTTATTCCACTCCAATCTTTTTTATATTTAAAGTAAGACAAAATAAAATAATGAAATAGAATAAGAACACAGTTCTTGAGTCCCGTTGCTAATCTCCACAAGTTAACTTGTATTAGAAATAATCATTTTGAATAAAAATAAAGTGAACTTGTAACAAGCTGAAACAGACCTGAAATAATATCTCAAAGAGATACTGATAGATGCATAAAATATAAAGACAGCAAGAATGGAAAGAATCAAATATTCACTGACAACAATTTACTAGTGTTAGTGATAGCTAAATAAAAATCATTCAGTGATAACTAACATGTTCGATATGTCACTTTCATCACCCGCATCATCGACATCGAAGACTTGCGAAGAATATTTTGATGAATTCAGCAACTGATCATCCAGGTAATCTTCCTCTTCATTATTTACATGTTGCAATGGACGAAACAACGTCCGTACAGCCTTATGACCATCACTTTTCAATCGTCTTCGCCGTATCATCCTTAACATATCAATTAAAACAGCAAACAAGATAGATCGATCAGTCAGTCTAATTATCACAATCATTAAAAAGTAGTAAGTTCCTTCACTCAATTTTGTATCATAAAGACAGAAATGACGAAAGATATAGAAAACTAAAAAAAGAAGTAATATTTAGAAATGAAATCTAGATTTTGGAATGGAAAAAATGTCGAAAAAACACGTTAAAATGAAAAAATAAAATAAAGAAAAAGGAATGATGGATGGAATTATGCCATGAAAGAATTATGCAATTTTATAATAATTCCACGATTCATTTTATCATTCATCCGATAGTTCAAAATGAATAATGATGGAAGGAATGATCCAATCTCAAAATATTTTAATAAGTAAGAGGATAAATTGAAAAAAAAAAATTTTTCCAGACCTATCAAAAAAAAAAAAAAAAAAAAAAAAATTAATTTGTTTTAGAGAAAAAGAAAAGTGAAAAAATTGAAATTATTTTTAAAATTTAATTTTTTCTAATAACATAAAGCTGCTTGCTTCCATACATTACAGCAACATAAAGATTTAAAACAGTAAAATTTGACCTTTAAAATTTCACAGTTTATTTCAATCGTGCCACCAAGTAGCAGAATGAAATTCTCCGCGACTTCTGTGTTGCTGAATTACCTGCGTGTGATGGGTTTACGTCAATTTCAAGCGTAAACTTTAACTAACTTTACGTGATTATTTAACAATTCAAAGTGCATCATCATTGTCATGAAATTTTTAAAATGACACATAAACGGAGAAAATTATGCTGATATTTTCAACAAATTCAAATGATTTAAATGCAACAAGTTTTTTTTTTTAGAAATTTTTGGAAATTTTTTTTTTTAGAATTTTTTAGAAATGATAAAAAAAAAGTAATTGTTTGTTTATCATTCTAATTAAAAGCAATAGAATTTTATAAAAATCATCCGATCCTTGATAGAAACGATTGAATTGATCCTTACCTTTCCCGTGAATTCATTCTCTTCCTCTTAGTAATGTATAAATTTTTATACTAACATTTCAGGTAATTTAAAAAAAAAATTTTGTTTTTATTTACATTTAATTTGTTTGAGTAACAGAAGTATTACAAAGACCAAAATAAGTTATAATATAAATCTGAATAAATCGTAGTATTTTTTTGTATATCAGAAATATTTCTTAAATTACCCCAAAAAATGGAACACAAAATGAATGCTATGATGCTTAATGTAATGAATCATGTATTTAATTCTTATCATTTCCGATTATCAAGTTTATCTTCAATTGTTAAATACTGAAAATCATTTCACATGTAAGTATTTTCTTTCCAATAGTTAATTTTATATTCAAGCTATAACCAACTTACATAACTTTTCCTATTTGTTTACATAGCTATCTTTGTATTGCAATATGCCTTCGTGAATATATCAGAAAATCAAACATAGATTCTTTCTCCTTCTTGCTTCTACGTGATTACTTACTTACGCAGTTTTCACGGAGGATGTTCGTTGGCGACGTATTCTTCAACGATGACTTAACCATTTCCCATCCAAAGTTGGAAACAATTTCCTCAATTGTCAATATTCGTCTATAATTATCATATAATATTATCAATAATTTACAAAGAAAAAAAAAAAAAACTTTTACAGCAATTTTTGTCTGTAAAACAACAAATCAAAAAAACTTTCACAGTAAGAAATATTTTAATTTTCAAACCTTCATTTTTTTTAAAAAAAATAGTCTTAGTTTCATTTTTTATACGGATTATTTAAGCTGAAACCAACAGTGCTAATTTTCATCTCTATCATTCTGATAAGTGAAAGGATCTAGAAATAAATCAGGAATTCCCTTTTAACTATAAAAATGTTTTTTTTTTTTTTATTGCGTCACGTAACTATGAAACGTATTCAGCTCTTTTTTCCCTAAATCATTTATTTTCCTTTTTTTTTTTTTACCTTCGCCACACTATAAATGATAATACAATATGTAATGTAGCAAATACCAAAACTATATAAAAGCATAAATAGAAAAAACACAGAAAAATAAATAAGAACGATGGCATGATGAATTTAAATGCTTTTTTTTTTTCCTTGGAAAATTTTAAAATTCTCAGTAAATAGCCCAATAAAATAAATGTTTTCTGGCCAAGGAAACAAAGGATGACACTTTAGTTGAACTAATAAATTACTATATAATTTTAAATTGAAAACCAATATACGATATGAAATACTTAATCGGAATTTAGAAATTATGTTAGCGTTCTGTAGTTCTGTTCAAATCGACTTCACTGAGATGGTAGATTGCATTCCTGCGACCGTGTGATACCGTGGTGCTGATTGCGGGTTTTCATATTTTGGTTTTGTTTACTTAGTTGATTGGTGGTTTAGGTTCTTCAGTTACTTATAAAGTATGTTTATTGTTAATTAATTAATTAACAAAATAATCATACTTTTTTTTATTAACATAAGTCTGATATTATAGTAACGGTAAATTGAGGAGAATATAGAAATGATATTAAAAAGTAAAAAGATGAAAGATAATAGAGGAAATGAGAAGATAGTAGATTAAACATGTATTCATAGCAGTTTATAATTATTGTGTCAATTAATCAACATAAGATATTAATTGTTAATCTTTAACATTTGCATGGTTGATTAAATTAATTGATGAAAATTTAATCGTTTACAATTTTTCATTGTATTTAAGAAAAAATGAATCCATTGACGAATATCCGGAACCAGAATAAAATTAATGATCGTGAACTATTACTTGGATTTACCGGAAGCAACAGTAAAAGCTGGCATCAGAAGTATTCGGATTCAGCATGGATTTACATCGGTGGCTTACCATATGATCTTAACGAAGGCGATGTTATTGCTGTTTTTTCACAGTAAGTTTAGCTATCTGAGCAAAAAAATTCTTGAATTTCATGTTACCTTTTTGAATTTCATGAATTCAACTATTATTTTGTTTGTTACACCAATTGCTATCATCCGTATGCTAATACAGTTATCTTTTTACTTTCTCTGGTATTGGTATACGATTGTCAGTATAGTTTTAAACTTATTTTCCTGCTGCTAATTATCCAGAAGCCGAATAATTTTCTGTTATTCCAGTCAAAATCCTTTTTGGTTCTTTTACTATGTGGGAATTGGGCGGAAATAAAGTGATTTGAATTGACTTTATAGTGTGATGGATGTTTGACCATATCCCTTTAGCTAGAAGCGATTCATTTAACCAAATTTAAGAATTCTTTTTATACATTTATTGCTTTCTATAGTTAATTTGTCTTATCTTTTTTGGTTTATCTGATACAATGCATTTCTTTTATCTGATTTCTTTTATTTGAAAAAATTATTGCTTATGAAAACGATCAGAGAATATGTATTTAGTGAGATTATTAACAACTCTTTGTAGCAAACATTAAAAATTGGCATAAAATTCTAAAAATAGAACTGCTTGATAGTGACTTTCATTACACGAATATTCATCCTTCATGCTTTGCGTAAGATCTCAAAAAAAAAAAAAAAAAAAGAAAGCAAAGAACCTAGCAGTTAGATAATTTATGACCAAATAGTGTCATATCAAAGTGTATTATTATTTGAAGCTCTTCAAATCATTTTTTTTTTCCCATTTTTTATCATCAAGCTTATAGGCTATATGATATTATGGAACTCGTTTAATTACTTTTCTTTCCATCTGATTCTTCAGTTATATCACTATCTTATAGCATAGGAGTCTTTTTTATTTTTTGTTAACTGTATTCTACTGGCTATAATATAAAAACTTTTTCTGAGATATGGCGAAATTGTGAACATCAATTTGATTCGGGACCGCAAAACTGGAAAGTCTCGTGGTTTCGCATTTGTCTGTTATGAGGATCAGCGATCAACTATTTTAGCTGTTGATAATTTCAATGGAATTAAGGTTTGAAAACTTCGGATTCTAGAAATTCAATTTTTTCTCTGTTCTAGAAACTATCATTATCATAAGTTTTGATAGATGTTCCTGTTAGGCGTTGAGAACTCATTATTTATAGTTGTTAAAGCGAATTATACGTGTAGACCATGTGGAAGAATATAAAGTTCCAAAATATCATGAGGATATCGATGAAGAAACACGAAAAATTTTGGAAGATGGTTGCGCTCCAAAACCAATTGCTGCACATCAAGGTTTGTGCATTGTTTTATAGCTCAAAGTAATTTTTATTTCTATTTCTCGAGGGAATGTCTCCATAATGATCTTTTGGCTGTTGATAATTTCAATGGAATTATGGAAATTTACAACTTTATTTGTATAATGAAAATTGAAATGTGATGTTTGTTCGTTAAATCGTTCGTAATTAGCTTTACTATTAAGCTGATGAATCGGAAGATGTAGATCCAGTTGAAACGCTGAAGAAAAAAGGAGCAGTAGATAAGGTTGGTTTATTCTTTTTTTATTAAAATATTATTTACATTTAATAAAGGATGTTATTTCGCATCAGCAATGATGCTGTTCTTATTTCATACAGGTATGCATTCTTTTCGGAACTTTTCTACGTGGATAAATAGGTAATTAGCGGTAGTCCTTGTGCAACAATTATTATAAATTGTAAAGAACTATACATAACTTTTATTGTTTGTGGCATAGGGCTGACTTTTTTTCGTTTTCAGATTCGATTATTCACTTTATCGATTCAGAATTTTTGATTCAAGTTATATATTTTGTTTTTTTACTGTTTGCATATTTTGTAGGATGGTGTTGTGAAAGTGGATAAAGCTTTGGAAAAGAAATTGAAAAAAGAGCAGAAGCGACTAATGAAAGAAGCAAAGAAAGCAAGAAAAGAGGAGAAACTGCGCAAGCGTAAACTTAAAGAAGAGCAACTGGAGCTGGAGAAGAAGGTTGAAGACGATGAATCTTGGAAGAAACAGAAAAAATTAATTGATTTAGGACCCGTTAAGGTAGTGCTTTCAGGCACAGTTTTCCAGTGTTTTGATTTCAAATTTTCTTATTGTTTATTTCTTATTTTTTCTTAAACTCAACCCTACTCATTTTATTTTCTTTCATGCATTCCTTTTTTTTGTGTGTGTTTTAAGCTATGATTTCTTTTTTTATTTAATGCACTGTTACTTTTAGGAAGAAGAAATCTATGGCGGTAATGAACATTTCAATTTTGGTAAACCAAAGAAAGAAATCCCACCGCTTCCATCGCATAATCCCAGACCTGATTTCGAAAAAGCTGATTGGCGTGATATAGAAATGTGGAAAGCGGTACGCGAAAAAGAAAAACAGGAAAAAGGAGAAAAAGAAACGAATTGGAAAGAAGAGGAACATTATTTACCATCCAGGTTTCGAAAAGAGTGATTATGGTTCCAGTTATTTCCTTTTATTGATCTCATATCTGTGATATCTTGTTTTTTTTTTTTTTTTTTTGTTTCATATTTCTAAATTCATATGACTTATTTGTAGAGAAGATTAAAGAATTACTTCTCGTTTCCATTTTTTTTCAAAAAAGTTAGACAACTGAGATTTCTTCTTAATGATCTTTCCTCAGGTCAGAGTGAGCGTAATCCTGTAGAATATGATAATTTGAGATTACAATTTTCTTTTATCAACTGATTAACTTTAGGTTTAAGGATAGTGATGCAGTTATTTTTGTTTTAATGTTGTATATTTCTAACTTTTTGCTTGATTGTCATCTGAAAATATCTTGTTGCAAAAGTTAAGTTAGCAAACTATTTATAGTGTATTATTTCATGAAGAACGTTTCTTAATTTACAGAATAAATCGTAAATTACTTCGTTTCTTACAAATGAATAGCAAAATTAGTCGAAAAAGATTGCCAAAATCGAAGAAGAAGATGCTTACTTATAAGGAATGGTGAAAAGTTGAATAGCAGAAATAGCTGAGAATTTTATTTTTGCTTTTGATTTTGGTATTATTGCATTAGACTGCTATATTTAATTAAATTAAAGGGAATACTAAAACTGTAATTATGGTAGAATTAGTTATTTTATATATATATAAGTAGAATTAGTTATATTATATGGTAGTATTAGGTAGAATTAGTTATTTATATTTATTTTACTTTTTCCAATCATAAATGCTGGTATAATTACTAGATGATTTCACGAGATTATTCATATGTTTTAACCTTAATAATCGATAATTTCAATATTTTCAATTGAGAATCTTACATATACTAAAAACTAAGAAACTGGAAAAACTAAGAAATTGTAAAAACTATAGTTATGATATATTTTTAATTTATTATCACTTAATGAAAAGTTGCTAATATACATCATTAACTGCAAACATATTATGAATCATTTATAAAAATTATACTTAATCTGAAGATATCAAAATATAAATTCTTGTTTAGCAGATCTCTTTTTTTTCTTCAATTTTCGATTTAAATCTATTTGTCTAACTTTTTGCAGATTCAATTTCACATACGAATATTTTTTTGATATTTCAATTTTATATTGAGCTGATGAGAAAATATAAAGAAATAAAATTTTTACTGTTTCAAATATTGAAATGATGTGAAAAATAAATTATATATAAAAAAGAAAGAAAAAATTTATTTATGATTTTTTTTTTTTTTTTATTCCAATATAATAGCGAAAATTTTATTTTACACACAAATGTTAGTATTATTACAATGAAATTTTACATTACTAACTAATTCAATAAATTTTTAACTTAAATATGATCATATTTTCATATATTTGAAAATATAACTGAAAGAAGATGGATGACATTTATACTTTAATACAATCATTTCAAATATTTCTAAAATTAAAAAAAAAAAAAGTATTTCTGACTGCTTACAATATTTAATCAATTTTGTATAAATATTTAATAGTCAATTTCCGGTTATAACATACGGAAAGATTTTTTTTTTTTTTTATGCTAATTAATTAGTAGCAGAATGAATGTACGATGTAATAACATTATAACCATTTATCATTTGTAAATATTAGAAATAGCATTCTTTTTTTTTTTTTTTTTTTTTTTAAGTTTAGTTTTTTGTTGTTTATAAAAATATGACTGGAAATTACTTCCTTTTTCCTGTATTTTTATTTCATCCATTACATCAATAATTTATTATCATCAAATATCATTTGAAATAATTTATTTAAAATGCACAGAAATTAGTTTAGGAATTTTTTGTTTTTTTTGTTTTTTTTTTTTTTTTGCACAAATAAATTATTCATTTGAAAAAAAAAAGAAAACAATATAGCTAAGCACTAAATTATTGGTAAACAAAAATAATTAAACTAAATTATTTCAAATCTTTTAGCATTTTCGTTTTTCTTTATTGTTAAAATTATTCATTTGAAAAAAAAAAAAAGAAAACAATATAGCTAAGCGCTAAATTATTGGTAAACAAAAATAATTGAACTAAATTATTTCAAATCTTTTAGCATTTTCGTTTTTCTTTATTGTTAAAATTATTCATTTGAAAAAAAAAAAAAGAAAACAATATAGCTAAGCGCTAAATTATTGGTAAACAAAAATAATTGAACTAAATTATTTCAAATCTTTTAGCATTTTCGTTTTTCTTTATTGTTAAAATTATTCATTCGTAATAAAAGTAAAATAAATATTAAATTATAGAAAAAAAAAAGGAAAGAAAAAAGAAGAATACTTGATGGTAATAAATATATTATTTAAAAATAGATAACTTCCAATGCTAAAAGAATGGCAATATTATATTTTGTTTATTTTTAAACAAAAAAAAAAAAAAAAAATTCGAATGAGAAAATAAAATAAACAAAATTATCATTTTGATGGATATAAATTTATTTCAAAGTATGTATCATTTTCAATGTCTTAGATTATTAAAATTAATTTAAACTTGATAACATCAAATTAAATTTAAAGTAATTTAATTTCTAATCATTTTAGTAATAAATATATTTTTTTTTTATTTTGAAAACAATGAAATACATCAATGTAAGTATAATCTGTCTATTTGATTCTTTTGAAATCACAAAATTGCTGTATAGCTATTTTGCTTATCAGTTTATCAGTATCAGTAATCTATCACCACTGTCTAAAGCTCATAAATTTATTACAAATTATACATCATTTTAAATACCATAAATTATTATGCATAAATAATTGTTTACCATTTTGAATTAAAGCATAAAATTTTTGGAGCAAAAATTTTTTTGTTTTTAATTTTTGCAAATTAATTTCTCAAATTTATGAATGTTTTTTTTTTCTCTCTTTTTTTTATCAAATAATTAATGAAAAATGAAAGAAATTTGTGAAATTTTCATTTTGAAAAAAAAAAAAATTAAAAATACAATAAAAATTTTTTACTTTTATAAAAATTTTATTTACAATGAAAAAAAAATTAAGTAAAATATTTATATTTTTTAAAAATTTTTGAGCATTAAAATTTTTTTTAAATAAATCATTTATGAAAGTAAAGAAAAAAAAAAAAAAGAAAAGAAAAGAATGGAAATGATGAGATAGTTAAATTAGTTTCAATCTTTTTCTTATTACTAATAAAATCATTTAACTAAGCTTTAGCATTTATCTTTTTTGTTTTTGTTATGTATTTGTATGTAAGTATGTGTCTGTGTGTGTATGTATGTATGTATGTATGTGTCTGTATGTGTAGGTGTGTATGTATGTATATGTGTGTGTGTGTGTGTGTGTATGTATGTATGTTTGTGTATGTTAAATTGATGATAAGTTAGTTAGTTTGAAATGAGAAAAGAACAGATGGCTTAAAATTGTTGAGGAAAATAAAATGGAACAGCTAGTTTTTGTATTTAAGTAAATATTTCAGTTTTAAATTTAAAAATTTCAAAATTTGAAAAAATTAAAATTTTCATTTTTGTATAAATTTTATGATTTCTTTTCCTTTTTTTTTTTTTGTTTAATCAGTCAAAAAAATAATAAATTAATACAAATTTTATTTTTTTAAATTCAAATATATTAGTTTTCGTTTTTTGTTTTTTTTTTTTTGAAATTTCAAAAATTGAATAAAAAAGAAAAAACTTAAGTATTTTAAAAATAAAATTAAAACAAAACCTTTGAGAAATTTTATAATTTTAAATGAAAAGATTAAAACAAATTTTTGGAATAGAAAATTTTTTTGAGAAAATTTAGAAAAGCAATATAAAATGAAAATATTATTTATTGTTACAAAAATAATTCCTAAAAAAGATAATAACAATCAATTTGAATTGATTAATAAATTTATTAATACAATAATCAAATACAATAAAGCATAGGAAGTAAACAATGATTTGAATAATTATAAACAACGATCAAATTTATTAAAATATTTTCATTTTTAAAATTTTTAAATTAATCTGTTTTTTCAAAAAAAAGTGTTACTATTAAATAAAATATATTTTTTGAAATAATATGTTTTCCTCTCGCTAACAAATGATAACAAAAAAAAAAACAAAGAGAGAGAGAGAGAGAGAGACTGAGAGAGAGAGAGAGCTTACTCTATTATTAGCTTAAAAATTAAAAAAAAAAACTTTAAAGAAAAGTAAGCAAAGAAAAAAAAAAAGAAACTTTCATTTGCTAATGCTGTAATAATTTTTGTTGAAGAAAAAAAAAAAAAAAAGTTTGTGAAAAGTGAAAACTTTTGCCGACGACTTAATCAATTATCCAATCATTTTGGTTTTCCAATTTCAAAAGTACAATTTAGCTTTAATCAATTTCAAACATTCTCGTTTAACATTTTAAATTTTAAGCATTAATGTGTGAATTTTGCTATCGTAATTTAAAGCAGTGTTAATTAATTAGACAAAAATGATGGAATAAGTTTATTTGTAAAAAAATTAGCATATAATTTTAAAAATTTTTTAATTAATTTTTACTATTGCAATAAATGTTATATGCATAAGTAATACTTAAGTAATAGCTTAAGTAATTGATCATTCTTTTTCCACAAAAATTTGCTTTTTTAAAAATTTTTTAATTTGAAAACAAAACGATAGAAGAAAATGCATGAAGCATTAAGTGAAATAGCAAAATTGAAATTGATTTATTGTTGATAATTTCAAATTAGTTTTTTAAATTTTCAAAGTTTATATTATTTATTGTAATAAAATTTTTTTTAATAATAAAAATTTATTTTAATAAAAAAAAAAAACGAAAAATAAATTTAATAAAAATTTTAATAAGAATTCTTTTAATAAAAAATTTTATTTCAATAAAAAAAAAACAAAAAATAGAATAAAACTTTTTATTAATATGAGTTATTCAATCTTAGCAACAATTTTCTTCCATTTATTTTTTTAAATTTATTTTTTTTTGCTAAATATATCAATCTAACTGATCAAAAAAAAAAAAAAAAAAAAAATGTTTTGAAATAATTAAAATTT